ATATTATATATATATTATATATATAATACTATATATATATATATATATATATATATATTATATATATATATATATATATATATATATATATATATATATATATATATATATATATATATATATATATATATATATATATATATATATACATATATATATATATACATATATACATATATATATATATATATATATATATATATATATATATATATACATATATATATATATATATATATATATATATATATATATATATATATATATATATATATATATATATATAGTCTGAACTTTTACAAAAATTAATTTGCAAGTGTGTTTCAGATCCGCTTTAATGGTGGAAATGGAAAAATTCAGGACCAATCAGACGGATCCTAGACTGTGATTTGTGTACAAAGTGTTCCTTAAATGGTGTGAATAATTTTGCAGTATAAGTTTAGTTATTTTAAAATTGTATAAAATATTTAAAAATTAATAAATTCAATAGTTTTTGATGTTTTGTTTTAAAGGTTTTCATTTTCTACAAAGAGAAAATATGTACTTTCTGCTTTAGCCATGAGTATGTGATATTTCAATTATAAGTTCTGCGGTCTGCCAAGTGTATAGTAGAGTTTGTTACTAAAGGCAAGTTTCCTTTTTTAGAACATTATGTAATTATATACCATATGAATAATAAATTATTTACCACATGAACAATAAATAATTTAATACATAATTAAATTAAAGCAGGAAATGAGCTTTTAATCCAAAAAGTTGGGTACAGAAATTTTTGCACTTTTTGTTTTGTAGTGTTATCTTCAATATTTCTATTTTAAAGAGGGAATTTGATGGCAATAGTTTTTGGGAACAATTTGAAACATTTTTGCATAATTTGTTATTGCTTATATTATGTAATGGCTATTCTAGGTAAAATTAAACTATTCACATATCTTTTGTATCTTCTGAATCACTGATCGTGTAGGTTTTGACATCAAATCCTGAAATTCTATATACAGTAGCATTTTTAATGCCCAGTGTTTTAGCCCACAGCTGACCTAAAATGATATTGAATAAGTATAAACAGTAAATTAAGTTCAATGGTATTTTTAAAGATTCATTCCACATTTTGAAGTAATTATTTTGTTCAGTCAGGATGTTAATTACTAATCAGCACGCAAATTTGTTCTAAAAAAAAGTGTCTCAAACGTTCTATGGAGAAAAAATAGACTGCAGCATTGAGGCAAAGGCGGCTTATATATTTTTACCACTTTACCAGGAGATTGTGACAATTCTTCTTCTGATTTAATCCCATAATGTGCTGCCCAGTCAGCTTTTCCAGAAAAAATATTATAGGCTACAACACCAAAAGCATTCCAAGCAATAATTGCATAAGCTATGGAAAGTTTCTGTTTCCACGAAGCTGCTGTATTTTCTTCAATGGGCCCCGTTCTGCTCCTAATGTACATTCTTAACCAACGAGGAAGTTTAAAAAGGGTCATCGTGCCTTAGAAATTACATTAAAAAACATTGAAAATTTTCTTATTATTAAAGGTTAGGCGAAATCTCGTTATCTATGAATAGGCGAGTGAGATTACAAAAGAAATATGTAGAGTGTAAAATCCGTAAGCGTAAAGCATAAGATTTATCTAAGGTGTTTGATAAAATTTAACAATATGTTGTGTCGGGGTTCTTTTTTTATTAAAAGTATATATTGTTTTTATTCTCAAAATTACTTTATCATTTGCGTATATCATTATGTAAAACATTTGCGTGTATTTTCAAACACTCTGAATTAAAAATTTTCAACTTACCAAATTCACAACATATTTTTCTAGTGATCTTACTTGTCAAAAAGGTAGTTAATTAAAATGGCGAATCCCCAAAATATATCCAAAAATTTGAATTATGTCATGTAAAATTTAGCGTTTTTTTATTTTTGTGTAATTTAGTGCGCAATATGATGTGAAGTTTAGAAAATGCATTAACAAAATGTATGTATTTAGCCGAAAGAATTTCGGTTTTTATAGTAACATGTTTACCCTATGTGGAAAGAATTATTCAGAGTGATAATTTTTAGATGTAGTCTTAAAGTAGTAAATTTTTAGTTATGGTGGAAGTTAACAAGTAATGATGGATAAATCTGATTCCGATGATATAGAGTGTAATTCCACAAGAGATATAACAAAGTCTACAAAAGAACAGTTCAAATCAAGAGATTCAGTTGACAATCCATTTCCGTAAGTTTTAGAAATAATGCATCCCTATATGCAGAATAACTAGATATGATAAATTATAAAAATAAAAAAATCTATGCACAAATTAAAGTAGATACTATGTATAATCTAAAAGTAGGTATTTAATTTTAAACAGCTAAATCATTACAAGCAAATTGAATTTTGTCAAAATCTATATTTTCAATGTGCAACACTGTGCTCAATGCAGCTATAAAAAGTTTAAATAAAAATAAATTTATATTATATTGATATTTAACTCTTCTCTAAAGGGTTGAAAAGATATTTAATATATCTATTCTTACTGCCTGGGCAATGCTTGAAAAAATTGAAACAAAAATATAGTTTCCTCCTGAATATAATAAAGCATGAGAATTGCAGTAAGTCAAATAGCACAGAATTGGTCAAAATTTGAGAAGCATTTTGATATATAACAATGTACCCAGTTGAAAATTGTCATATTTAAATTAGTTTCAAAGATATCCTGATACATTGTAAGAATTTTTTTTCAGGGCTTATTTGAGAAAATAAAAAGCAAATTTACATTTTTTAAAATTTCTTAATTATTACTTTCTACAGATATTTAAGTTACATATATCATGTGCTGAAATTTTTCCAAAATGTAATTAAATAGTTGACAATATATTTATCTTATTAGAAGGACCAAGATTATCCCACAGGAACCTACCATTTGTCCAGATTCTTGGCTGGTAGGAGGCTGCTTAGGTTCTCGTAATGCCATACTGGTATTTAAAAGTTCAGCTCTTGCAAATCCCACAGTTCATAGCAGTCAGAACAAGCCTGGATTTAAATTACACATAACATATAAGGTACTGCAAGCTGAGACTAAGTTGCTAGCAAAATTATTGGATTGTCATGGCGTTATGGAGGTGCCGCCTAATTCCAGCGATTTCAATTTATTGTGGACAGGATCACATCCAAAACCAGGTTTGTCATATTACAACATAACAAAAACGATGAGGGCAACCCAGCTATTATCTCTGTTTGAACCTATTTTCTTTAAATGTCAATACATTTTGTTCTATGCTATTTATTTTTTTCCTTGTTTAATTTTTATATCTGTATATGTTGTTCAGGTATGTTAAGATCCCTGGCTCCTCATCAAAGAGTGAATCATTTTCCTAGATCCTATGAGTTGACACGGAAAGACAGACTATACAAAAACATCGAACGAATGCAACATGCCAAAGGTCTTAAACACTTTGACTTTATACCTCAGACATTTGTCATGCCTACAGAATTTAGAGAACTTTGTTCAACACACCATAGAACTAAAGGACCTTGGATTGTTAAACCTGTAGCATCGAGTAGAGGTAGAGGTAAGTTAATAAGTTATTATACAAAAAAAAACTGTTCACATTCAAACCCTAAAGACTAAAATAAAAATTCATTACAAATACTCACTACCTGTAGCAGTAAACCCCTAGCCTCACAACTAGTTCTTAAATGCAAATGCTTAAGGAACTCTTATGTAGGTGCTGTGTTTGTTACTAAAAACATAAAATGGATTGATATATACTGTGTCATTACTAAATTCTGAAACTTATTGTTTTTTTAGGAATATTCATTGTAGAAACTCCCAATCAAGTGCCTCTAGAAGAACCTGTTGTAGTAGCCAAATATATTTCTAACCCCTTGTTAATAGCTGGTCATAAGTGCGATATCAGACTGTATGTTGTAGTTACCAGTTTTGATCCGTTAATCATTTACATTTACGAAGAAGGTAAACATTAGTTCTACATACTAGTTTGTATTGACACATTGCCAAGATGTTTGCAATATGGTTGGTTTATTAAGCCTTAAGGATGAGCTGATCATGGACCATCATATTGAGAAAAGAAAACAAAAAAGCATTTAATCTAAAGAAATTGATTTCATTAATATCTATTTTATTAACAGTTTTTGGTTTTAACAAATCAAAAATTTCTGGAAATCAGAATAATCTGTAATATTCAGAAATTTTAAACCTGCTTAAGATTCAACATGAACTTTAACTTTTTAAGTAGTTGAAAAATTGTTTTTTGGCTTAATAAACATTAATTTTAATTCCAAATTGAACAACACTTACATTTATTCAACATTTTTGAATAAGAAACCATCATTCATAAATTACAAAAATTTTGTTTGAGACATTTGAAAACTTTACCTTTCGCGCATTGCAGGAAAGTATGTAATTATCAATTATCTCGAGTATTATACATTATTTCATAATTGAACAAACCTTTTATAGAGGATTTTTTCTACACCCCAGTCTAAAATACTTAATTGGGCACCGAACAAGCATGCGCAAGGTGTCATTTTAAAATTTTAGATTCATTAAACAGTGTCGCCAATTCCAGCGTTTCCATACTTTAGTCACCGGTTGGGATAGGCTTTTGGGATAGATATTTAAAATATTTATGGTATTTTAACGTTGGTCTGTTCTAGTAACATGTCAAAAATTTGTTTTGCAAAAACTTACCAAAATAATAATGATCCTGGATAATTTTTGGTATGGAACACCTTTACAAGCTTCAAACTCTCGTTTATTACATACTAGCTCTATTTACAAAATACTAGCTCTGCTGCGCAATGTTCGTGCCTAAACAATCTCGCGATTAAATTGATAAATTTCTCCTAACAACTAAGAATAAGAAACTCAGTTTTTTATTTTGAGCTTAAACCATCATGTGTCTCTCTCACCGTTTTCAATATTCTAATTATATGCTTTGAACACCCTCTAGAAGTGGGACATCATGATTCAGATAACTGGTGTAAAATACATTTTTATTGGATTTAGTGGGGATATTGAGTGTTCTTATTTATAACACAAAATTAAAAATTGAATTAAGCTACCGCCTTATTAATAATAATTTTAGAACATTTCTTGTGTAGGTCTAGTCAGATTTGCAACAGTCAAATATGATGCTAGTCACAAACAGCTCTGGAACCCATGTATGCACCTGTGTAATTACAGCATTAATAAGTACCATAGCGATTATGTAAAGTAAGTTTCTAAAATAAAGACGGAACAACAAAATAAACTCAATCTCTCAAGGTTTCTTAAGAAATTGAACCGTTTTAGATCAGATGATCCGAGTGCAGAAGATGTGGGCCACAAGTGGACACTGAGCGCCTTATTGAGGCATTTGAAATCGGATGGTAAAGATACAGCAATGTTGATGTCTCAGATTGAGGATGTAGTTATTAAGGCCATCCTAGCTTCTGCAAATTCTATTATATGTGCCTGCAAGATGTTTGTGCCCAATACAAATAACTGCTTTGGTAGGATATGTTATATTTTTGATTTAGTCATATTTAGAATTATTTCTTTTATTTTCAGAATTGTTTGGTTTTGATATTTTGATTGACAGCAATCTTAAACCATGGCTTTTGGAAGTAAATTTGTCGCCTTCATTGAACTGTGATAGTCCTCTAGATGTTAGGTTAAAGTCTGCAATGTTGGCAGATCTTTTAACTCTTGTAGGTATTCCAGCTGTAGATCCTATTTTGAGGCCTGCGTCCACTGTTAATTTATCGAAAGGCAGTTTAAACTTAAAAATGAAACTCAGTAATGTAAGTTTTTATTGTATTGACATGTTCCTGTGTTATGCTACCTTTGTTGGGCGGATAATAGCATTTATATATGTAACTAATCAATTGACTGCTCCCTGACAGACTCTGTCCTGTATGTCTCATGATTTATAATTCCAAAAAAACACAAATTGTGAATTTCACTTTATTAAATGTCTTTGTAATCTTTTTCAAAAAAATGGCAGTTTATTCAACAAGCTTTTGAAAAAAAGTGCATGATCAAAAAATTATTTTTATCTGTTCTACAACAACCCCTACAAGCATTCAATTTGAATGGAGTTGAAAAAAACTGGGAAAACAATATATATTTGAAATCTACTAAAATTATGTGGTGGTTTCGCATCATGTATTAGAAAAATGATACATAAATGTTTCACAGATATGAATGTACCACGACAGTTTGCAATTTTTTATTACTTCTTGATGTTCAGTAGTTTATTCTTTACAATTTTTATGTTATTGGTAATATTTTAGTGTCGCCGGGTACATTCAGCAGATGGTCTAAGCAATACATTTCCAAAAAAGCAACCATCCAATATATTCGCAAACACTAGAATTTCGACCGCTTCGTTGCAGCCTACGCCCGAGGAAACCAGAATTTTAAAAAATGCTAAAGCGCAGTTTGAAAGGAGAGGCGGTTTTGTGAGAATCTTTCCCGCTTTAGATAGTTGGGCAAAATACTCACAGTATTTAGGTTTGTAAATTCTGATTCTTCAATTCTACAAAACTTAAAAGTTCTCAATTTTTGTTTTCTAGATGCAATTACTGGTATTCCAGTCTCGGGAATAGCATCTAGTTCTTACAATGTAAATGTTAGCCACAACTATAATTATTTATTATACACTAGTTGTTTTACGGACTATTCCAAGTTGCCTCAATCTAATGAGAGGCCTTCATCCAGAGTAAAACTCACATCTATGTATGGGACAAGAGATTTATCGGTGGACAATAAACTAGGTCTGTGGTAGTTCAACATATTATCGTTTTACAACATTTCCATATTTTAGCGAGACTTAATGACAGACAGGATAGATATGAAAGGATGTTGAGTCGTGGACATAAACAAGCCCTTGTGCCTTGTAAAAAAGTGTTAGAATCACAGGGTGCTGAACTACACCAAAAAATTATGGAGATGCTGAAAAGTGGCAAGAAAATTACGTAAGTGTTATCACATTCTCTAAGTTAGTTTATGCAATATTAATGAACCTTATTGGCAAAATTGTGGTATCAAGCAAACTCCGAAAACCTATATGTAGGGACTTGTTTCAGCCAAGCAGAAGCTAGAAAAACGTTTAGCCAATATTTAGTTTGTAGATTAAAAAAGATCGTGAGCTCTCCAGAAGAGGAGGAACATATTGAAATAGTGCTTAAGTTTTTGCAAAAGGCATCTAATTATCTTAGAACACCATACAGCGTTAAAGTAAGTTCTACAAGTAATGGTTAAGTTTATTGCTTTTTCAGCTATTTTCAATTATAACATAGTAAAACCAAAAATTCGGTTAATTCGAAAACGATTTTATGATTGAAATTTTATAGTTATTTCATCCTGGAATACACTTGCGGTAGAATGTAGGATCGTGTTTTTTAAATAACCCTTTTTAGATATAATTTGTAGTTTTGAAGAAATCTATTATTATATAATAAGATAATATTATTAATCGTTATAATAATTTGTAATTATATAATTATAATATAAACTACACAATTTAAATTTTAACATGGCCAATATAAGCATATACATTCGAGGCTAACGAAACGACTAATCTACGTTACACAACTGATCTTACAATCAGACTACCCTCGTAAGAACAACAAATATATGATATATGAGTTTGCATTCCATGTTTTTGAGTTATTTTGGGTTAATACTAATTTTGGGTTTTGTTTTTTTTTTTATATATTTTTGTCGCCATATTTTTACAATAAATTCAACACTTGCAAGGAAGAATTTCATTGCAAACCACATGTTATCAGTTTTTGTTGGCAATCTGATTTCTAATAATAAAGTCCGCAATATTTAATTATTGTTATTTTCAGTCCCCAAGTACCAAACTTGAAGCCAAAGATAGAGCAGCTATTGTTGCAAAGCAACTTAACGATTTTTTGTATCTATACAATCGAGAAACGGAGATGTATATTGAGAATGCAGATAAATCAAGTGAAATACCGCACGACTTGTATAGCGAATTTTTGGAACATGCTAGGTAATTTGTATCAAGAAACACCACAGTTTGAATAAAATCAAAACTAATTTAGGGAACGCGACCTTGAAGAAATATTAATTCAACAAACAACTAAAGCAATACCAGATTCTGGGGGTCCAACAGGTTTCCGAGGTGTGCTAAAGTGCATTCCTAATGTAGACAAACATTACAGCATTAGGCCTGCATTCAAGCCAAACAAGCTCTGCAAGGGAGTGAAAATTGCAACCCTATCGTGATCATTAATTTTTTTTTCTTTTTTCAGTATTAGGAATGTTACCAAGTTCTGTATTACTTATTTTGACATTTGTTTGGAAATAGTGTCATGATTATTTTTTTTTAAATCATTTTAATAATATTAAATAAATGTTTTTAAAAAGTTTATTTATAACATGTCTTATATCTCAGCTTTGGGAGAGAATAGTACATTTTTTTGGTGTAATTTTGGGACAGAAAAGTTTTTTTTTTTTAGTGTAATTTTGGACCTTTTGTACTTATTACCTACTTTTTTATCTATTTATTTTTTTGCAGCAGTCGAAACGTTTCTGTGATAGTAACATTTTCGAAGTCATTTTTTTTGTTAATATCAAACTATATACTGAGCCTATTTGTAAAAAAACTGACTTATTTTAAGATAAGGTGAACAATCATAAATTCAATTTTGGCTTTTATAAAAAAAATAACAACTAAATTAAGAACCCACACCTTTTTTTGTTCAACACGATGAAAACATTTGATAGACAATTAAGCAACTAAGAATATCCCAAGTGACTTAATGTAATTTATAGTGGAACATACAAGTGCGCAGGCGACTGACTATTAATGCAATTCATGTTACGATGTCAATTCAGCATTTGTCTGTAGATTCGATACAAGAATGTAATTTTCAGGAAAGAAAGGAATTAAATTATATTATCGATGTTAGAAATTTATAGAAATCTGCCCATATATTGAACAATAATTCAATTCTTAATCGATTTTTCTAAGCCAATGCCAAAATTAATTGTTAGTTGTTATTTTTTTTTTAACTTCTATTGGGGTCTTTCACAATCTAAACACCAAGTTATTCAAAAAATGCAGGCCTTCAGGACATAAACTAAATATTTTTTGTTTGCTAGGATCATATATGCAGTGTTTCACTTTTTTCCCTTAAGAAACTACTTGTATTGCAAGACAAAATGGTAAAAAGTTACTTCGTAGTAACAATACAGGTATTTATAAATCAGAAGTTCCTTTTGTTTTATACTGGTTTAATTTAATGACTTTTGGGTGAAATTTGTTCTAAAAATATGGCTTTTATATGGTCTTTACTGGTTTAACGAAATTTTCATAAAAAATGAATCAATTTGTTTATGGGAAAAACGTGAAACAATTTGTAATAATACTTATTTTGTTGGGTTTATGTTTTTTAATTAGTTGGTTTTATGCTTATGTATACTTATGTTACTATTTTTGTATTTGCTCAATGATTTATTAAATAATTTATTATTTAACTTTTTGTTTTAAGTTGTAAGTCAATATACCCGGTTATCTCTTTACCTAATAAGCTGCCAACTTCAACTGAAAGAATGTATGAGTAAAATTTATGCTTTCTTTTTTTTTTTCTTGCTTTTTATAATTTGTATTTTATTTAGTTTCACGGCAAGTATGTTTTTCCCCAATATGCTACAATTTCAAAAACAATGAAAAACAAAAACAACTGAAAGGTAATTAGCATTACATAGTAAATAAATCTGCAAATTATTTACTAATTTTTTTTTTCTGGCTATATATTTGTTCTTATTTTCTTAACTTTTTAAACGCCCTATTGTTAGGAAACAAGCAACTGTTCTATAATTTAAGCGCGGTTGGCTGTTGCCATGTCTCAGATACCTGTTCTGTGCATTATATGGACAGCAGTCGGTATAAAAATAAATTAAAACTTGCAAAGAAAATTTTCAATAAAGATTGAGTGTAAAAAACGTTGATGTACATGGATGCCAATTTAATCGACGAAAATGTAATACAACAAATGCGACATTTATACAACGATGTAGTTTAACAGATATTACGCGATTAAATGTTAAGGTAAACCTCATAGTACAAGCTTAACATTGCATTGTGATAAATATTGTAATGCTTATTTATTATTGCAATTTTATAATAACTGACTGTGTCAATTGGTAAACTATTTGTAATTTATTTTTTTAATAAATGTTCTAGCGCCCATATATTTTATTGGGTGTTTTGCACGGTTTATACATTAGAAAGTCTGTAGTATCTGTCGTTTATTTTGAATATTTTGTTATCTTGTAATGTCTTAAATAATACTTTTGAAATTTTCAACTTTGTGTAGTTCCCTTTTTTTTTTATTCAATATTCATTATAAATTATCTTTTCTTATTCGAGGCTTGCTTCAGTTTTGTTAATTCCCGTTTATTAATTGAAATAATATGTTTAAGTCATATCCCCATATGTTTCAAATAGCTTGTTTTACTATTTTAATTGACAAATATTCAAAAGTTAGCAGGACCAAAAGGGAAGACATACGAGTATAACTGATGTTATGTTCTATTACAAAGTTTTGACTTCATGTACAGTGTTGTTGGTTGTAAATTGCACAAATCTCCGAAATTCGGAAAGATGGTTCGGTGCGGTTTTCTCAATACCATGTCGTATCGCTTCATTTTTGAGAAACAATTTTTTAGTATAGAATGCCATGTCAAAATAAGCGTCCTACGCTATCAGGTCAAGATGTTATGGGACACTTTTACATTTTTTATCGGGACACCCTGTATATTTACTTATTTTTATTCAGCTTCTTTTCAGATTATATAATTAATGGAAGTATATTGTAAGAATAATATAAAAGCACGGGCCGCCGACATATAATTTGCAAATTGTGAGGCATCATTTCGAAAAAATTTCGACAACGCAAAAGTGTACGAATAATGTACGGATCAAAATGGCAATCAGTTCTAGTAGTTTTTTGATGGATTTTTTATGAATTATGGCTTACTCTAAAAACAATTTTAAGTTTAAAAATTTAAACTGTAGACTTATTTTCGAAATATTTGTAAATAACTATATATTTTTGGAGAAGCTGAAAAATATACCGGGTGTTCCATTAAAATTGAAAAGCAGGATCCCATAACTTTTTGATCTGATCCTGTATTGCGGCATTTAAGGTATATAAGAAACACGTTTTTCCTCTTCGATTAGTTGAGAATACAAACATTTCATTTTCAGTTTCGACCCGTATCTCAAGTATGAATTGAGATCAAACAATTTTGTAGGAAAAAGTATTGCGATATCCATTTTAATTTGAGTTTGTTAAAAATTAATATCGCTTTTCTCATCATTATTATAGATATTCGTACAATACCGTTATAGTTATAGATACTACATACCGATATATTATGGAATTATTGAATCTTCGTTCGAAGATAAGTAGCTACAATAAAAGTCTCTGGAAATCTCTTTCTTATTTCTAGGGTTGTGGAATTGACCGAAATAATTTAAAAATAACCAGGAAATTTATATTTATTTATACTATAATTATAATAGACTTTGGTTGTAAATTCAGAGGATTCACGCATGACGGGTATCAAAAACTGGTAAAAATGAGTTAAATCCTTGTCGAAGTCGAGAACGTTAGTAACAGTTGGTAGCTAATGGTGGGAATATACAAAACTGTACAAACCTGACATTGAAGATTTTTCATTGTGACTCCGGAATAAGCTTGTATAAGTAGTGACCTAGTTATGGCTGTAAACACAGCATCCTATTATAATGGACTTATTACTATATATAATTGAAGTCTTGTTTAATACATTCCATTTTTCAAATTCTACAGCGTTGTTTGTTGACGTAACAGTTTTAATGAATTACAATAAAAATAGTTTTATGCGTTTTCCATATTCGGCATAAATATTTGCCAGATTTATTGTTCTTGCATTTGAAATAAAAAATTCGCAGATCAAATTTCCTATTTTATTTTTGTGGTTATTTCTGAATCGACCAAGAATTTTCTGACAATATATCTATTTCCGTGATATTCATGTCCTTGCGCGAAAACAATATTTCTAAACGACACATTTTCTTATTTTAGTCGGCGTTGCCAAATAGGCGGTGTATAAATGATGAGGAAACGAAGTGTGAATAATTTGAGCTTGTCTATTAGAACATACCATATAGCTATTAAATTTATTATAATAAGTAAAAAATAAATATATTAGTAAAAATTGATGCGCCGCAGGGAATGATTTCCCGGGCATGCTTCTACATTTCACCTATTGATCTGCACTTTGTGCAATTTTCTTTCTAAACAGCGATTGTCACACAGAACATTTAACGACATCTAAGCTTATTTTAAGAAAAATCTGCCGTAAAAAACACCGGATCCGAACTTACACACGATCTGTCAGCGGCCATATTGGTTGTTCAATACCGCCAGATGATTGGTTAAAAGTGGGATTTTAAGCTCGCACATGCGCATGCTTAATGGACCTTCTCAAAGCTTTTTATATAGTTGTTTCATAAGCTGCTTAATTATCGTTTCGGAGGATGTAGATACCACCCAAGCACGTCACAGAAGAAACGTCGAAATTTCGTGATTATTGGTGGTCGACGTCTCTAGAGCGTTGTTTTTACTTAACCACTAACTGAAGAACGGCACATGGCAGACGTTGCTCGTTTCCCCTGGGGCTAATTTGTAGATGTAGAAGAAATTTCCTTTCGTCTACTGCGATGGACCAATCCTAAATAAGTCATATCACTTATTTAAATGTCATTTTAACATTTCATAATAGTGGTCGATGGGTGTTCACGTTTGTGAGTCATTTTTTCATTACAAAAGTATCAGCAGCAATGAGAAATATCAATGTAACTAGCGATGACATATTAACATTATGCAGCAACTGGGGTAAAACTATGTAAGATAATTTTATTAAAAAATACTTAACAGAGCAATCCTCTTTTAAAGATGAGAAGCTAAACATTATTGGGTCAATTAAATAAGCCGGGGAACTTCGACTTCAAATTTTATAATTAACTTTACTTTGGGAAATTATTCAACTACAAAGCCCTATTATAGTTTCCTAAATGCAAAACCCGTTTTTTCTTCACATTTCGGTTTCGTTTTACACTCGGCAACATCGCCAAGTTTTCTCGTGGTCGACATTAAACCAACAATTCAAGTTTCAGTTTTTCTCCTAGAAGCCCGCGAAAATGCAGCGTATTCTAAGCGTTCAGACGAGTCGCTTAGTCACTCAGAATTCTGAATTCGTGACAAAGCGCTTGTGTTGCAGTTTTTTGCTGACAGTGGCCTTTTTTGCCTTGTTGGGAGGTAAGAGAAGAAGCCAATAAATTATCTACCGCAAGCAGTGCTTTCGTAGGTCCTATCAGAAAGCTTTAATCACAGTTTTTCAAATATTCAAAATTCATTATTTTTCGCCTTTTCATAAAATTTGCAATTTAAAAATTGTTACGCAAAGAAGTAGTACATACCTACTTTATTCAAAGGTCTTTTCGAACCTAATATTTTGGTTTGAATATACAGGGTAGTCCGAATTATAATGGAGAAAGTTTAACGGCGTTTTTCCCTGTCTTCTAGATTTTGCTTTCAAACTTCGAAGGTATTATAATAATTATCATTAAATTAATAAAATCAATTATTATTAAGTTATTATTATTATTTCTGGAATTTTCCAATATGGAAACCTCAAATAGGTATAAGATTCACATGCAAAAAAAAAATTTCAAAAACGGTTCGTTTTAGCAAAAAATCTCAAAAAAATGTTTTTGATTGCAATAAACCATTGGCGTAAAACTTTTTATTATTAAAAACAAAACAAAAAACAAGTTTATTTATCCCATAAATTTGTTTTTAAAAACAACAACAACTTTTCTCAACTATCTCAACGATGGTGTCTAAAAGGCAGCATTTTTGGACATAAGTTTCTCCAATATAAATCGGATCACCCTGTATAGATCACATTCGCACTATTGGAATATTTCTAATTTATTAGTTTTCTTGGTTAGTGTTTTAGATTAATAAGAATTGAGATTTAAATTTTTATCTTTAAATTTAAATTTCGATTAAAGACACCGACATTCCAACGGTGATTGTCATTTTACTACGATGCGTTATCGACCTATCATAGATTTTGCTCATATGTTTTGTCATTGTTACTGATTCGGGTCGTATTTTTCGAAATTTATTAAACAGTTTTCTAAAACATTTGATTGATTTCAGTTTTTTAGGATCATTTTAACGTCAGTGTAAAAAATTTGAGCATATAAGCTGATTAGTCAAAATCAATGTGTAAAATACAATGTATCCCAAAATAGTGTAATTTTAGGAACTTAGCTGTCATCTGAAGGTTTCATAATATTCTCCGTAAAGACAAATAATATCTTTATATTATTATTTCAGGAAACAGTATTTTGTACTATAAAAAGAACTGGCCTTCTTTAATAGCTTCAATTTATACATTTTTCCTATGTAATGATCTCCGCCATAAATCATTTATATACCATTAATCTTCTTCTCCCAACTTTCAGGGTTTCTCCTGGGAAAATTCGTAACCGACAGATCAATAGAACAAATGAAAATGGATATGGCGGACTTGTCGAGGAAAATTGGCACATTAAACGAAAATTTTAAGAAAACATTCCACGACGGTGTCAATCAAATGGATAGTGGAAATTATACATTTTTGAGGTGCAACTTTCTCGTAATTGGGCAGAACAGTACCGGAATGTTAACTTCCGCAATATTCTTGAATAAATTAAATGATTGTTTCAATAATGGTTGACGGAATTTTGTCGGTGAACTTGCGACATTTTTTAAACTACGTCATTTTGTTTTGAGGATTTTTTTCCCGGAAGTTGTCGTCTTCTCTTGTATTATTTTTTCGAAATTACGTGGGGCTTTGGAAATTTACAGGGTGTCAAGAATCACTTGCTTATCTTACTTGCACACATATTGTTAGGCTAATTTTCTGGAAACGAATAAATACCTTATTTTATAACAACTTTTTTTTACCATTCATGGTGTTGACCTCAATTTCATGTAGCTTACCTGTAACGCTGTAGTAATAATAGGGAATATTTCCTTTTGTTGTTTACTTTTTTGGATTTTCGTGACGGAAATGGAATATTTTTTTGGACATTTGAAGGAAGTTTTTTTAGCGTCATTATTATAGTTCTCATCAGGTGGCCACGGTATGGTTAATATTTTTACTAATTTTACTTATTTGTAGTGTAGCCTAGGCAATAACACTTATTCTATTTTTAATTTTGTTGTTGTTAATTTCCATTTAAGTTATTACTATTGCACTATTCGTAAGTAATGACATTAATGTTTTTACTAATTCTTCTGGGAGTAATTTTTCATAATGAGTTAAGAATTTAATTAACTTAAATGGGAAAGTCCAAATTGTTGGGTAATGAAAGCAGGATAGCACGGGAAGTTAATTTCATGATGGAATAAATTAATTAGTGATGATGGGAGCTCTTGAATGAGTGCTTAAAAAACGGACCAAATGATGCCCCTAGGTGGTGTATAACAGCATATAACTTTTAAATTGAAATATGACACAGGTCCTTCATTTACCTAGGTCTTATTACTGGCAAGCGTTCCTATTCCCATTTTTAATAATCAACAATCTAGAAGTAAAAAATTGTTCTTTGAATAATATAGTTAATTTACTAAAGCGGGTACAACAACTCTGCGGGTTCTAATTTAAAAGGAGCTATAACTTTATTATTATGGTTGGTTTCTAATGAGGAGCGTCGTCGATTCAAATCAGACAACTTTAATTTTTACATAAAATGTGAATCGAACTTAATACGTTTTTATGTTTTTTCGTTACATCACACATAAAAATTTTCATGTTTTTTTCGAAATTAATTTATAACATGTCAGGTTTTCTATGAACGCTGTCCAAATATTATATGAATCATTGTCGGATCAATGGGTAACAAAAATAATACAACTAACACAACAAATAAAGCAAAAAATTTGTTATTGATAATAATAAATTAAAAAATGGCTTAATGAAATATGATAATCGCGTAAATTATTTACTATTTAATTTACTAAAGCTGTTGGTCTAAGTTATTTGTTATCGTGACGATCGTACGCCGGCACTGACCACTTCTATTAAGTAAAATTTAAGAAATGCTCGCAATATCATTTAAACATTGTTATTTTTGAAGCCATCGAGTGCGGTCATATCCATTGTTATCAATTGTACCTAATTCTTTTGGCAATTTTTTTTAATTCAAATTTTCAATGGGCGAAATAAAGAGGAAAGTGTTGGTGTTATACGTCGGAGGTACCATTGGGATGCAAAAGAACGAATACGGAGGTAAGCATACAAAAGGTTTACCTGCGTACTAGAATAACATTTTTTCCCATGCTCCAAAGTTGCTGCGCTACATTACGCAACGAGTACATATGAAATGCGTTTTAACGATAAAAAGTGATCGTCTTGGTTTTGAAATTGCAGCCTGCGCCTATGCCTCGCTTTGCAAAGATTGATGTCATTCGAAAATAGCCGAAAATATGTTGTGCGTCCACATGATTATTTTTTGTTGAAATCTGATAAATAATGTTCAAATTAAACGAGACCGAATACGTATCGCTGTGTTTATTTACAAAATTTGATCAGTACATTTATCAATTTTCATCCGTCATTTCAAAACTTGCAATATTTGTGATCCCCACATTATCTTATTTTTGACTCGTGTTATCATAAATTTGATTCCAAAATAATTCCTTGCTTTAACTGGTATAAGCATATTATTGTGTAAACAGATTCTTAGTAAATGATTTGAGCAAATATTACGATTATATAATCATCAATTTAAGTATGCAACATTCATGTTGGCACCCTTCCGAAGAAAACATTATGATAATTTGCCATGCAATATATTCACGGGAGGCTTTCGAAAATATTTTTACAGGGTATCCAAAATTCCGTTATTTTGGAGAGCTTCCGATACTCCTAGATAAGACAGAGACGTTCACGAAGTTCAAATTTGAAAACAATTGTCTTGGGATCCATAGGTCCCTTGTTTATGAAAAGTTCTTTTTAGTGTAGATTGCGAAAATTTTTAATCCAGTTTTTTTTAACCGAATTTCCACTTTCACTTTTTAAGATATAAAACAAAGCTGGTTTTTTTGGAACATTCTAATATGAAATATCTCAAAAATTACTAATTTTTAAAGGAATTACACTGTTGTTTTAAAGGGAATTAAAATACAAATAAAAAAAAATCCTGGACTTTTCCATAAAAAAGACAACTAAGAGTGGCAGATAAATTCAAATTAGTCATTAAATTTTGCTGTAAAAAAATCTATAAAAAAAAGAATTGCGACTTTTCAAAGACGGATTGACTAGTCTTGAAAGTTGAGAAAGGCTGAGTAGCTTGAAAACTAAAAAAAATAATGCTTTATAAATAAATTTGCGTATTATTTCTTACTAAAATGAATTAAAATGCAATAAAATCATAGTTATTAATTAGGTATTAAATTTTGTCCGAACCAAGAACATTAGATTAAAAATAATTTAAAAAATTGTCGATATCCCACTACGTCACTGCTTTTTGGATTACATATATGAAAAGTTTTCCATCTTGTCCTGGATCACCTGTGTAGCCATTTGGGCAATTAATGTAAATGTAATAAATATGTGAAACCCATTAATTTTCCAAGTAATTCCGACTTTTGTTTGCCCGTTTCCAATGTTTAGCAGTTTGGTTGAAAATATTTTTCTCAATAGTGTTTTATTTTAAATCTCTATTGCATAAAAGCATATATGTGATAAGCAAGTTTACATTGGTAAATAACGCAATTTCAGAAATCCGGTACAAACTGCTTCCAAATATTTTCGTCTTTCAAACATTTTAACCGTCGTTATCAAAAAGTCATTTACAGTTCAACGAAATGGTTTAATTTTTATTTACTTACTATTAAATGATGTGCAAAAAGTGGAATTTGCCACGCAAACTGGTTCAAACTTTTAAAATTTATTACCGAAATAAACATATATTTTCAAGCTATTTTTGACCCTTTTATTGAGAAAAACGTCCGAGGACTGTCATTATTTAATTTTTAGTTTATATGCCGGTACCGGACGCATTCGTTAATAAAATTAAATCCACTTCAGAAATGCATGACGCGAAAATAGCAACTAAGTACAAAATCGATTTAAATGAAAACGAACTTATCCTACCGTAAGTATCAACTAGATAAAAACGTATAGTAATTATTTTATCTTAGGAATATTTGGGATAAGATAATAAATAACAAATTTAAATTGTAAAAAATAAAGTAATTTCCATTATTTTTAAGGAATTTGGGGCCCAATCTAATTATTTATAGGATTAAAGAATATCATCCACTGCTTGATTCAAGCAACATGGCTACCAAAGAGTGGATAAGAATAGCTGAAGATATAAAAGTAAGTTGCATCTCTCTAGATCGGTTGTACCACTTACTTCACTTTCTTACGCCTGGAGATTGTACTGATCGAAATTACATGTTATGGTTTTCTTTTGTTATCCCGAAAATAAGCAGACTTTAGATACTCGATTTCATATATTCTACCCTACCATTCTGATGGTGGACTAACCAACAGTGTAGGCGGTTGGGGGGGGTTGGTTGTGGCGTAAGCACTAAAACTTATACAGGTCGGTTCAAACAACTTACGTCGAAAAGATTTTTTTTGGTTTACTACTGTTTTATAAAAATTTGGTAATGTTTAGGGGCCACTGCTAACTGTTATCCAAAACTAACAGCGACTGTTTTATATGTGTTTCGATTGTGTGCGCTCTTCCTAATTCGCACTTTACAGGGTGGCCGTAATTGGAGAGTTTAAACAAAGAAAACCTATTTCTGAAATCGACTTGTATACTTGGTGGTTCAAAAATGTTGGGGGGGGGGGAGAATATGTTTTGAAGCATATATAGAGCTGCTTCCTTTTGGCCTCAGGTCGCTAAATTAAATAAAGAGTTCAAAAACAAAGACATAATCACAAAAGTTATAGGGGTGCGTTAATTTGTAACAGAAATTTGCGGTATTTTTTCAATGAGAAATATCAATTGTAAAATGTTCTTCGACGATGCAGCTTATGCAAATAAATTCCCACGTCATTTTATTTTAGGAAAACTATTCGAAATTTGATGGTTTCGTCGTACTCCACGGGACAGACACGTTGGCTTACACATCGTCGGCGCTCTCGTTCATGTTGGAAAATCTCCAAAAACCCGTTATAATTACCGGATCCCAAGTAAGTTATTTTTACTTTATTTACATTTTATTCTGACAGGTTGTTTGGAAACTTTACCATTCAATTTTTTTTTGTTAATGGCGGCTTTTTATATAAGACGCTGTATACCAATTACTGGTACTTTCGAATATATAAACCATGAAAGTTTTATATGTTCGAACAAATCTATCTGTTCGGCTATGCCTAGCACCAAACTTTAACAGTATAATGTGATGCTTTTTACAAAACTTCTGGATTCGTCCTGCATCGGTTTTTGCTTAGTCAAAATTGCTGACGTTTCGCCAATCATCCTGTTGGCTTCTTCAGAACTCGGCTGAAACTGTTTCAGTCCAGCTCTGAAGAAGCCAACAGGATGATTGGCGAATCTGGTAGTAGTAGCATCTAGTATCTAGTATCTAGTAGGTATGGACAGCTTCAGAGGATTTGGTTCATTGGTTTTGCCCGGATACACGACAGCATTTACCAAATAATGTGTCTTGGAATCACATAGACATATTATCTTGATGCCGTACTTGACCGGTTTGGCTTTCATATACATCCTAAAAGGGCATCTGTCCCTAAACCGCACCAACATCTCATCGATTGTGATTTATTCGGAACAGGTGTAATTTTCAATACTTTTAGCTATAAAAGTGTTGAACAAATAGGATATTGCTGCAAGTCTATCACCACTGACCTTTTTTTGCTCTCTTATTACATGATTATCAAATCTAATGGGTCTAATGGGTCTGCCTAAGCAACTTGTTGAAAATAGTGATTCTACATCCTCGTGATTGGATTTGAATACACCAAATACCCAAAAAGGGCTTGAGTTTAGCTTCGCTTACATGATCGGCAAATGTGCATGTATCTCCATAATTCGCACTTAGCTAGGTAATTTTTTCTTTTGTATACACTAAAATGCTGCCTAGCATATTAAGGGTTATCAATAGAGAGCACGATTCAATTGGACTAGAGGGTTTTGATTGTAAGGCAGGCCCACGAAGACCTGGAAGGTGCGTAATAATATTGTACGCGCGAACTCTTGATGGTGTCGTAGGATTTTTAACCCAGATGTAAGTCTGTTGCATCCGTAATAATAATTTTCAGACGATTCTTCATCAGATGCTGATTCAACTTCGTTGCTTAGATGGATTTCTGAGGCGGTATCATGTTCAGAGTGTTCACTTTCATTGTCTTATCATTGTTATTATTGTCACTATTATCTTCAACATTCTCAGGTGGGTCGTTTAAAGAGTCTAGAAAGTTGTACACATTGTGCGATGTCACTGTGACACCGCCAGTTCGAACATTATCACTATTAGAAGCCATTCTAACTAAAATTAACGCAACTAACTAACTAAATTAACGCAACTACTATCGCGGGGTCAAATTCGACTCCCCATAGCAAATTAATTACTTGCGATCAGAGCGACGGAAGCTCTGCTACTAAACGGTATGGTAAACTATGCACTTAGGTGGGAGAATACATAGGGTAATAACTTCATGCGCGGAACCATCTGCCAGGTAATCACAGAAATTTAAGTGGTGGGGCCAGTTTTGACCCTACGATAGTAGTTCAGGGCTAAAACTCCGGGGTCACAAACCCATTGTAAGTTTTCGCACAAATATTAATACTGGCAACTTTGGCAGCGGTAACTTCGGGTTCTGCTGGGTGGGTCCCAGGTTAGAGCCAGCGCATGGACTAAATTAATCCAGCGTTAAATATTTGAAATAATGGTTATTTTTATTGCATAATTAATGGTATTTAAAGAACTACTTTACATTTTTAGTTCCACAGTGTAATACAAAATTAAATTATGTATGTAGGTTAAAATTCAATAATATTTTCTCGGAAGGAACTGTTTAATTGGATGACTCTTATTCCACTTATGTTTGGTGGTTGTGAACGCTTATATAATAAACATCTTTTCAGATACCAGTTTTTGAATCTCGCAGCGATGCAAAAGAAAATTTTTTGTCGTCGCTGATCTTCGCGGGTTGCTATAATATTCCAGAAGTATGTGTGTTTTTTGCCAACAAACTACTAAGGGGGAACAGAACGACCAAAGTTAGCTCAAACTGTCTCGATGCTTTCGACAGTCCCAACTATCATCCACTTGCAACGACCGGTATTGAAGTTAACTGTAAGTCGTTGTTATTATCTCTGTCATTAATCTGTATAAAGTGTGACCTATTTGTGTCCCATGACATCTAAAAAAGAAATGCCATAAATAGTTCATTGTCATTTGTTGTCATTGTTGTTTGAAATAGAAGAAAGAAAGCAGCAGATTTTGAAGAGATATTATATACGGAATGTCAGGGATAATTTGGGAAATCTCTGTTCAGTTCATATAATTCTTTCCTACAGACCCTCCATGAGCTCCTGAATAAAGCAGATGGAAATTGGTTTTTCTTAAAAACATAAATAATAAAATTGTGTCCTCAAAACATATTCAGCTTGTTTGGTTTACCAAGGGTGGACTAAGTACACTTAAACGCATATTTTTTCAAAATAATACAATGCCACTAGGCAAAATTGTAAAGTTTCTATTTTGATCGAAACTGTGACGCAAATTTTCACATTCAGCTAATTAAATTTCGCCAGATGGAATTTTATTACTTTTTATTAAATTTTTCGAAAACAACCACAAGCTCAAATTTCACTTAAATTTTGACTCGATCTTGAAATTAACAGAATAATTTTGGTTAAAACAGACTAGACGCTCATTGTGTTATACGGTAGACATGTTGATAAACATGCTTCATGAATTTATCGTACGTATATTATTAACTGTTTAAATAAACACGTCGAACCAGTCAATATAACTTTTGTTTGCCTTCATAGTTTTCACCTTGATAATGCACTGTATATTTTTCTATATACAAGTATTCGGCTTTGTTTATTTCTTTTACCATGGAATTGTCTTTCAAGACGAAGTTATTAGTTTGATACTAAGCTAAACTTTACATTATCTCCGAGGTAAACATGGTTGAGGGCAATTATTTTTCTATTTTTAATTTGTCATTCTGATCTTGAAAAATTTGTTTCTATTTAGTATAGTGTTTAATAAAATAAAGATACAAAAACAGCGTAAGTTTTGAATTCCCAATATACTTTATTTTACAAAAATACTTGATATGAAATTTAGTGGAGAGGTGTAAGTGACATAATTTGAAACTTAAAAAAACATAATATTATATGTAGAATAATTGACGTTCAGTAAAAAATAAGAATGCAGACGTTTGGAAAGTAGGTGTGCAAATTCAATAGGTATGGTCTTTTCATAGATATAAGAAAGTGACCAATTGCTTTTGAATGGGATTATCCAAGGGTGGTTATTAACATACAATGCAACAAGATTATTACCTAAAGTTTCGGAATTTAAATACAGGTAAAATCGTGGTCAGTAATAGAAAATAATTTTATACCTACCTGTGTTTAATATTCTTTAGTTTGGTATACTACTTACTTTAAGTTTATTAGTAATCATTCTTATTTCGTATGTAATACGTGTGTTGCATCGAGTGCGAATTATGCAAAATATGTGCGAGTCTAGTGTATCTTAGGAGATGCTCCCGCCACACACACTATTCTATTGAAGCTAAGGAAGTTATAAACAATGTTTATTTGACTTTCATTGAACGTGGTGCCAGCAAGCAAGCATCTTTAAAAGAAATGGCCACATTGACGAAAATTCCAACATCAACTGTATGGAAAATTGTGAATAATCCCATTTCAGCGATGAAAAAAAGAAGCGATACTGACATTTTCTCGAGTGTAGATGAAACTGATATAATACGGCGTAAAATTTACCAGTTATACGAGGAACAAAGCGTGCCTACATTAGATATCTTAATTAGGAGCCTTGAAAAAGATGAAACCGGTGTTAAATGTGGCAGAACTACCAACAACAAAGGCCAATTATTTACTTGGATGAAACCTGGTTCGACACTTATTATACCCCGGAAAGGGGTTGGGTTGACTCAACTGATAAGTGTAAAACTAATGCGCCATCAAAAAGAGGTAACTATTTTGTAAATATTAAAGATTCTTCTCTGGATTCCCATGAAGACACCACCGCTGATTTATTTGAAAGTTGGTTTAAAAACAAACTTGTTCCAAACATTCCTCCTAATAGCGTAATTGTAATGGACAATGCAAGTTATCACAGTAGACAGTTGACTAAAACCCCTTCCTCACGTGACACAAAAGCAACAATCCAAAATTACATGTATAATAACGATATTTATTTTAGTTTTTGACATCCCTCCACAAAGTTGGGCAAATTCTGTTAAACATATAGAAAAAGCAGAACAATCGTATATCCATAATGCAAATAATATAGAACAAATAATAATTAGAACAGGCGATGATAGCGATAGTCAAACTGATATATTATGTGAATAATTTTAAGTAATTTAAGTAGGTAATAAAAATAATTTGTAATTTTATTTTAGATGTAAACATAAATACATACATAAATAAATAAATATTGTTTAGTATCTTTCCTAACAAAACTCCAAATAATTAAATTCTAAGCAAAGTACACATTTGTTCGGCCATATTTCATTCTTACAGCTTGCCCGGGTCTTTCCTTAATTCCTATCAGTTAGTCACATTCTTTTATCTATGAACAGCCTTTACTAGGTATATTTTCAAATATGCAGCATGATCAGAACTGCTCGTAACCAATTTCAAGTTTGTTTGGTTTATTTTACAACGTTCTTGAGTTATTTGGGCGTAACAAACAGTTTTGCTAAATAGGGCTAACTTATTTGCGTTGCAATCAACGAGCTGTCTTTTTTTTTTTGTTAAATTAGGTTAGTTAGATTCAAACCTAACCAAAGGTGACTACAATATATAGAAATTTATTTTAATAATAATCATCATTTTCCATGTTTCAGTGCATTATCACTACATAGCAAAAAGGAATTCTTCGAGCAAGTTTTCTGTTCATACCAATCTGAGTTCAAATGTTGGCAGGCTAACCTTCTATCCAACAATTGCTAGTGAACAGGTAATTAGTAAGCCTATAGATATACGGTGCGGCTCACTATATGTTTTCAAAGCCTCCTCGTTTTTCTCAAAATTTATTAGGCAATTAATATTATTTTTAATAATTAATATTACTTATTACGCTGTGAAATAATGAATGAAATGAAAATAAAAATTCGATTATAAAAACATGTGGCAAAAATTGTTATATGTTCTAAAAGATATTTTATTTACAGTTGGAGTCCTTTTTGAAACCCCCTATTGAGGGCATTGTGCTTCAAAGTTACGGAGCGGGTAATATTTCTTCCAACCGAACAGATCTTCTTAAGGTATTAAAAACGGCGGTGGACAGAGGTGTTGTAATTATTAATATTACACAATGTTCGAAGGGATCTGTTAGTGTAACTTACGAGGCCGGCAAGGTAGGTCTCTAGCGGATGTTGATTTCCTATTGATATTTTTTATAATTCCTAAGGTGCTTATTTTATTTTCAGGCGTTGGAACAATTGGGGATAATATCTGGTGGTGATATGACAGCGGAAGCAACTTTGACTAAACTCGCATACATTTTAGCGATGCCTTGTTCCTACGAATCCAGAGTAAAAGTAAGAACGAATTAAATATTCGTCGCAGGTGTTTTACTTCTTGAGATTGTTGGCAGTAAAACCATAAGTTTTTAAGATAAAAAAATCTGATACTCTCGTCAAATATATTGAAATACAACAAAATACACTGAAATTGTGTATTATCATCCTTTATACAAATATTACATATGAATTTATTTACCTTGAAAGATTCATAATATCAAGTGTTAAATATTTGGGAATAAATAAATTATTCTTCATTTTACCTTATTATTGTTTCAGCTCATGAAGTCCAACTTGAGAGGCGAACTTAGTAGCGCAATTTTTAAATACCACAATAACAATGAAAAAGAAACCGCTAGTGGTTCTATAGCAACGTTACCAAGTTGTTTTTAATATATCTGGTGCTTCCTTGAAAAAACTTGTTCAATGTGACTTTTCTGTGATATAGAAATAAAAATTGTAAAATTATATGATAATATATTATAAGTTATATTATATATGAGTTGTTTTATTTATGTCTACTTTATATCATGTACTCCCGTTTAATTGTTCATATTTTTAATTGATTACGACTATGCCGTATTTCGTTGAAGTATTTTCTAGCATTTTTACTCTTCTCTGCGTCACATAGAAACAGGTACCAACTACTATGCATGTTTGGGTTGGATATTTTTGTTTTAACGAAGATAATGCACTTGACATATTAATATAACTTTATTATGGAAAAATAGTTCAAAAAGGCATTTTATTTTTAAATTTGAAAAATGTGAGTAACTTATTTAACAAAGTTCGGAACTTAAAACTTAACAACAAATTAACACAACAGAATTAAAATAACAGGGACTAACTACCATAGAGGTGTTAGATAATATAATGACCCTACCACGGTAAAAAAATGATGCGTCGTAGGCGGCATTGATATTTCGCGCATTTCTTTCTAAACAATGAATTCCCCACACTTTACTCATTTTCCCAGAATATTTAATGCGATCTAGGCATATTTGAAGAAAATATTGTGGGGGAAGTACTGCATCAAAACTTCTTGGCGATCTGCCAGCGGCCATGTTGTTTGTTGAATGCCGCAAGGTCGTTGGTTAAAAACGGGATGTCAAATGTTGCGCATGCTTCTGTTGAATGGACCTTCTCAAAATTGTTTTCATAGTTGCTTCATAAGTCTCTGTTACTGTCGAACACATATTGTACTAGACATATGTAGGGCCGGCCTATGCTGATAGTACAGGAACCCATGAAACAAGTATGTAAATTTTTTTTGAGAAGGTCCTTTGAACATGCTGATGCACGAGATTTAAAATTCAGTTTTTAACCAATGAGTTAAGGCTGTTAAGTTAAGTAACGGTGGCAACACTGTATTAATAAATGGCGCCAAGTCGGCGTATGTCGCCAGTTTTTCGAAGATAACCGAAGCCCCGCCGAGTGTCGGCAGAGCTAGTTAGTTATCAAGCTGCTAAACTCTTACGATGCAGCCTTACTTATATGGAAATACAAGTTCATTTAAGGTCTAAGCTCGTAGTTTAATTCCTGACAAAGGGTCAGCTGGTCCTTCGATAAAAAAAAAAATAAGAAAAAGAGACTCGATTCAACAAAGGGTGTGAAAATTGCGTAAAGTGCAGGTTAGAGGGTGAAATATAGAGGCATGCGCGAAAAATCATTACCGAAAATATCAATGGGCTCACTATATTATCTAATAGCTATATAGTCGAACACAATCCATAACAAAACATTTTTTAAGCATATATATCATGTTAAATTTAAAGTCTCCAAAAAACTTATCGCTAAATACCTAATACGAGCAGGTGTAAGTCCACAGCTATAATATCTTAACGAACAGTTTTGCCCTTTTAAACCGTCTATCACGGCATTTTTCAAATAATCATTTAAGATCACATCCTGAACCCAGACACTGCTCGCCAAACCGTCTACGATTTTGTCGGTACTGGATCCTTGACCTCGTCGCACCTGTCTACAAGCATTTCCGACGATGTGGCAGACTATCCTTTGAGAGCACGATAATGGATCAACATTATTCTCTTGAAGGAGTTTGTTGATTGCTGCGAAATACTGCCACTCATCACCTGTAAAAAACGTTGTATCACATTATATAAATAGCAACGAAAATGTTCTAAACGACAAAAATTAAATCACAAATTTCCAAGCCATCCGACGAACTGAATACAAAAAAGAGTGTGCAGCAAACTTGACAAACAACATATTAATGGCAGGTTTTAAAAAAAAAGAAGTTTATCAACGTGTTGGCAAAGGTATACTTTAATTTAGGTATACATTAACTTTTGGGTACATTTTTCCGTTAGAATTGAATAAATACTAATGTCCAAATTTGGTCCCGATCGTGACACTCTCCGCACTTGGTTTATACGTAATTTGGCTATTTTGAAGGAAGGAGTGGAAAATGATGCGGGAATTATAGAACAAGCCTCTAGGAAGCATCTCAAAGATAATTTATGAAAATAATAAGTTTTTTTGTATTATTTGTATTACAGTTTGGTTATTGAAAATTGTATTTGTATTAAGTATGGTCATCATCCATAGCATGTAGCAAATGTAGCGTTTTATTTTTTAATAATTTGTTCTTAAATCGGTTTTTTCCAAAAATTGTAATTTTCAGTTCGTTTTTTACTTATCCGATTTTAACGATTTTTGGAAGTAAGGATATTTATTTTATTTTAATTAATCAAATCAAATTTATAGCAATGAAAAAACGAATTAGGAGGCACTGAAATACCTCAGCTTTCAAATGTGACGTGTCAGTTCTAATGAAAGTCTCAGTGAAATTTTCTGTTTCTCTACGAGTTTCATAAATCTTTAGTCGCTCGATAGAAAAATGTCATCGGAGCAAATTTTTATTTTGGAAGCGCTCGTTAACAGGATTATCCTGCAGCCGCACATAGCCATAGAAAATTTAGACGAGTTATGCTTGAGGTTCAAATTTGCACAGATTGTGAATTTCGATATCGATACCACGTACTTTCCACTGCCTGAATACGACGGTGAGTTCATATAAAAAATAGTTCCCCGGGTTATCTATTTACTCTAAAGGAAATAAACATAACCAATAATTAAAGTAATTCGAAAAAAGAAAAAAGTGATCAGTTATAAAGAAAAAATACTTTCGGTACATATTAAAAGAGTGGACAAAACGCGTTAAGCTATGTGTGTGTTTTGGGGATGGGCTCAAGGAGGGGTAAATCTAATCTACTTATTTGATTGATTAGATATTTTTGATATAGTATTAATATTCAAAAAATTGGTAATTAATAGACTCTATTTCAAGTCGCCGGTATAACTTAAAATAACAATTACAAGGTTGTCATCCACTGGAGCATACATTTCTTTGTCGAGGGCTGTAAAACTCGAGCCTCATTACTGACAAGAAGTTTCGTTAACCATTCCATTTCAACAAATTCGTAAAAACGACATTACGGTTTTTCCAACAGAATATCTTACTCTGAAGAACTGATTTCTTGGCGTTTATGGTCTGATGTAAGATAGTTGCAGCCAATTTTCATTTTTTCTAGAAAATAATCCACGAGTGATCAAAATGAATTTTGGAAAAACGTTTTTATTCACAAGTAGACCGTCGACCCTAAGGAACCTACTGGAAACCGAACCTCTGGAAATTGGCCTTTACGATGGTGTCAAGTTGTGCGGGTCAGTCACTGTACCTTGGAAATTGGAATTCTCTGAAATGATTAAGTTTTTTGAAACGATTGGAATGGTTAAATCTTGCGTAATTCATGGTATGCGGTGTTATCGTCTCAATACAAATATTATTTTTATTAAATAAAATGCAAAGAATTTTTTTCCAATTTGTTGAAAAAACAAAACTTCTACAGCTTAATCAAACACAAATCACGCGATATTATCTTTTATTTTGTAGTATATTTGGTTGGTATAGCAACTTTACAATCGGCCAAGTAAACATTCATATCGTTAAATTTTGATTAAATGAAAGCTTATTAGTTTGGTTTTTTCAGATTTTTATTATTTTAGTTAATTCTCAATTGTGTTATTGCAGAATTGTTCCCCTTTACTTCCGACTATGATACCAAAGTCGCCGACATTGACATATTCCTGAAGATGTCCTGTTTTGGCGAAAACGTCCAGACCTTGTTTCAGGTTCGCCATTTCGGAAAAAATCAAGAATTAATTTTTCGGCAAGGAAATAAGTCAGAGACATTTAAATGTGAAAGGTGTGAACCATATTGAGTTACAAACTATATTTGCACTCTGTGTGATCTACATTAACTGATTATAGGACTGATGAAAATCTGTTTAACACAATTAAATTAGAACAAAATTGTTCAGATTTTCACAGTTATTTAATGATTTATCACAGATGTTTCGGTTCGATAGTATTTACAAGAGCAGATAAATGAAAGACAGACAGTTTCTTAAACCGTGCATATATATAATCCCACCGAGTTATATCAAAAACAAATCAAAACTGTAATTACAGATTCATCACTAAGGCCTGTAGTTTCTTTTGTAACATGACCGTCAGTTAAATTCTCATCAAGATTAATAAAAATTTTAGAATATCATACGGCTTTTAAAAATTTGCTTCGAACTAATTAAAAAAGTTAAAGCAATTCTAGTTTCATTTGACGTCCAAAATCTATTTCCTAGCATTCCATCGATTGTGGTAATAGACACACTCAGAGACATGTCAACCCTATCATAAAACAGGACTTGCTAGATAGTTTAATAGTTTGTTTAGACCAAAATTATTTTGAATTTAATGGTTAATTTTATATTGCCAAAGGATTGTTAATTATGAAAAACCCACTTAGTCCACTACTTGCAGAAATTTTCATGGACAACGGAAAGACAACTGCAGTCCTTTTTTTAATCATATTAACTCCATACATAACCGTATAAAATTTACCCTAGAGACGAAACTAGATAATTCTTTAAACTTTCTGGAATTAACTATAACTAAACCACCGAACAAATCAGATTTCTCCAACTACCATAACCCCTCACACACGGACTTTTATCCAGAGACTGCTTAATATACCACTTTTCACAGAAAATTTTGAAGAAGAATTAGATATTACAAGACAAATAGCTTTTAACAATGGTTACGACCCCTCTTTCATAGATAAGATTATAACTAAAAAGCAGTTACATATAACTCGGAACTCTATCCCATATTAAACACCAAACCCAAAATTTATAAAACAATAAAATGCATAGGAGAACCTAGCAAGAAAATTTCGAAATATCAATCTAAATTTTTTTTAAATGTATATAGGACAAACAGATAGAACATTTTAGAAACGCATTAACCAACATAAAAGTTTGGATTCTAACTGTGCCACACCAATAATTAAAAATCTCTTACTACCTGTCTATATATATATATATATATATATATATATATATATATATATATATATATATATATATATATATATATATATATATGGTGCATTTAATAAAGACACGGTGTTCCCGAAACAGCTATCATAAATCATTAAATAAGTGTGAACATCTGATCATTTTTTGTCCTAATTTAATTGTATTAACTGATTAACTTAATAAAATATTATAAATAAATATAGGTTTGAAGACGAAAGAACTGAGCCTTTGGTAGCGGCGCTGTACAGTGGAATTGCGGATTTCGGAATCGTTTCCGATATTAACGTTAAACAAAATGTTTCTCTGACAGCGTTGTTCGAGAATACTATCGCCGCCACTGCTACTCCTAGTACATATAATACGTCGCCGCCGCGAGAAGACGAAGGTGATTGTTACAAAAAAACTTTCTTGCTTGAACTATTGGCATTAGGGGCCAGACAAGGTTCACCTAAACTGGAAAACCAATAGCCAGCAGGAATAGAGTTAATGCGAAAATCATTAAATCACTAAATATTTCAACTTAAAAATGCCTCGCACGAATTTTAAGATACAAAATCAAAAATTTAAAGGTGGCGCCTATGTAGTTTATGTATGGTCTGTTCTTAGATATAAGAAAGTGACCAATTGCTTTTGAATGGGATTAGTAATCATTCTTATTTCGTGTGTAATACAGCGTGTGTTGAATCGTGTGCAAATTATGCAAATTATGTGCGAGTCTAGTGTATCAAATGTAGAAAACACTAAAGAAGTTATAAATAATGTTTATTTGACTCTCATTGAACGTGGTGCCAGCAAGCAAGCATCTTTAGAAGAAACGGTCACAATGACGATAATTTCAACATCAACTGTGTGGAAAATTGTGAATAATCCCATTTCAGCGAGGAAAAAAAGAAGCGATGCTGACATTTTCCCTGTGTAGATGAAAGTGATCAAGATATAATACGTCGTAAAATTTACTAGTTATACGAGGAACAAATCGTGCCTACATTAGATATTTTAATTAACAGACTTGAAAAAGATGAAACCGGTAGTCAACACATGGGTTTTAGATTTAAAAAAATTAAAAAAAGGCAAGTTTTAATGGAATCTTTTAGAATTTGGAAATGGCGACTGGAATATCTAGAAAAAATTAGGATTTACAGAGAACAACAAAGGCCAATTATTTACTTGGATGAAAGCTGATTCGACACTTTATGATACCCCGGAAAAGGGGTGGGTTGACTCAACTCATAAGTGTAAAACAAAAGCGCCATCAAAAAGAGGTAAAAGAATAACTATTTTGCATGCTGGCTCTAAAGATGGTTTGATTCCCAATGGAATTTCTCTGTCTGCGAAAAATATTAAAGATTTTTCTCTGGATTACCATGAAGACACCACCGCTGATTTATTTGAAAGTTGGTTTAAAAACAAACTAGTTCCAAATATTCCTCCTAATAGCATAATAATTGTAATGGACAATGCAAGTTATCACAGTAAACAGTTGACTGAAACCCCTTCCTCATGTGACACAAAAGCAACAATCCAAAACTACATGTATAATAACGACATTTATTTTCACGAAGATTATACCAAAAAGCAATTAATTGAGGTTCTACAAAGCTTAAATCTACAAAAGGAATACGTCTGTGATAATTATGCAAAAAATCTAGGCGATACAGTTTTAAGGCTCCCACCTTACCACTGTATATTTAATCCCATTGGACATGCTTGGCACCAACTGAAATCTGCCATTCGTCGTAACAATGTTTTTCCCCGTGTTAACTCCAATGTCCTCAAACTTATAGAAACCGAAGTTTATAACATCCCTCCACAAAGAAAAAGCAGAACAATCGTATATCCATATTGCAAGTAATATAGAACAAATAATAATTAGAACAGGCGATGATAGCGATAGTGATAATGATATATTATGTGAATAATTTTAAGTAATTTAAATAGGTAATAAAAATAACATAAATACATACATAAATAAATAAATATTGTTTAGTATCTTTCCTAACAAAACCCCAAATAATTAAATTCTAAGCAAATTATTGACCTGTTCGGCCACATTTCATTCTTACAGCTTGCTCGGGTCTTTCCTTTATTCGTATCTGTTAGTCACTTTCTTATATCTATGAACAGACTTTACCTTATAAACGGCTGACTTTTCGTCCCCGTGTTTTCACTGTTGTTGGTGTTATGCATCATTGGTAAAACTAAAGTAACTGTCCCATAGTCTGCCATATATGTTTAAACGGTTTTTCAACGAACATCTTAAACTCGATATTTTAATTATTTTTTTAAAAATTGTATTTTTTTTTATAATAAATTCAAAACCTAAACTAAAAGAACAGTAGCTACTTATGACATTCGAATTTAACTCAATTTAACTTAAACGACGATAAAAGTTTTTGGATGACATTTTGTTCAGTTTAGATGTTGTTTTATACAAATTTGTTTAATTTATACGTAACTAATGCCTTAGCATTTGTATTTTAGAATTTATAGATTAGAATATTAAATTTAATTTTTAATAAGATTAAAAAATTCACGCTATTAAGAACAAACCAACGAAAAATAAAACAATTTCCGGAAATATTTTATAGTCTACAGCGGCGAATAATTGAAACTGTTCTGGTATGTTATGCTTCGTAAAATAGAAAGTTTAAACCAATTGTTTCAGGTATCGATGTGGATTTCGTAGACAAGGATGTGATTTCGATATCTTTTAGGCCACCTCAGAACAAGTTTTTGGATTTTATAAATATGGTTAGGTAATTAACAAACCACTAGGTAATTAATTAAGTCTTTAACGTGTTTGGTTTTGTCTGCTTTCCCCAATGCGAGAAAATACGAAATTAATCTCAATTTTGAAATACGTTAAAATAGGAAACTACTCATTTTTCATTATTTAATAGTTAACAGAGTCATTTCCACGAAATATTTACGAGGGTACACGGTTCAACTTATCGCAAAGACTTTTTAATTTTGTGTACAATTTTTAAGATTTTGAAGATATAAAGTTAAACGAAAAAAAAACACAAAATGTAAAGTTTTGCAGCATGCTTTTATAGTAGACACAGACACACATAGAACGTGCCTTATAAATTTTTTGAAAATAAAACGCCCTGTATCTAATGTACGTATGCAAGTATTCCTATTGCTTAGAAGTTTTATATTTTAATACACTTTTCAATAATTGATAAATCTTTAAAATTTTTATATTTTCTCGAAGAGTGCCGATAAAACTTTATATTTGAAATGTTGCTAAACACTGCTTGAATAATGAAAGTGCACTTAGTGGTCGATCGCTATAACCAACTAAAACTTGTTTATTAAACCCTACATTTACTCTTTTTATTTGCCATGATATATCCCGAAAACTGGACAACCATACATACACATAAATAGTCCTGATTTTAATGCCAAAAGATGTCGTTTGCATGAAAAATTTAATAACGTTATGTTTTTCGCATTATTTTTCAGTGCAGACATTAAAGATCAAGTAAAAGCGACGGTCACTATACCAAGAGGTCAGGTGGCGCGCGTTCGCTCGTTTCTGAGAAACCTGGAAAATCAAGAAAAAAAGAAATCCGATGCTCTTCAACTTACTTCAGAAAGCATTGCCAGCAAACTATGCGGTAATAAGGATTGTCCTGGCGTAAGGAGGTTCAAAAAATATGGCACGTAGTTTTCCAGATCAAAGACGTTATAAAACACAATATCGAAGTTAAGGTCCATTTGAATTAATCTTTTTTCTATTTTTTTAGAAACAATAAAATAGAATAATATAATAACCGAAAATATACGATTTTTCTTTCAAAATATATAAAAAAAATAGAGCTATACGATGTACTACAAATTAGCAAATTTCATAACATGTTTTCCGCTTATAACGATTGAACGTGGCAATTTTGAAATAATCCAATAAGTAAGAAAAATACATATTTTTTATTCGGTTTCGGTTACATTTAGAAATAAAAAATAGAAAATTTCGTATTCGAAACTTCAAAAAATTAAATATGGACTGAATACTTTATTGTAGATAAAATAAATAGAAAAATCATGGGGTTGGCTCGACAAATTGTTATAGGTATTGGTCCACTGGCACCAGGAAGCGCATTAGGTACACTATATGAATTTGTTGAACCTCCAGTTGTCTACGGCCTTAGTCATACTTACGGAACTTTATGTAATTATGGACCACTGGGAGTATTTTCCAAACCCAAGCATGAAGACGAGCCATTTACACCCATGAAGCCACCATCCAGTTTAAAACTAAATCAATCTGCACTATTGAAAACGAAATGTGAACACCATTGCAAGGTGAGAACGCATTACACTCTCTACAAGCTTGGATAAATGTTATAATAGTATTTATTTTTTGAACAATATGAGTATTTAGTAAAATTATTATTCAAATTACAGTGATAATGACAATATACTTGTTTTTAATTTGCCTTTATAACTAGGAAAAGCGTTTCTTTATATGAAACACTTATTTCACCAATTGGGTCGAGCGCTGGTCTAGAGTAATAATTATTCATTGAGGAAATAAGAGATATGCTAAAAATTAAATTAACAATTGAGCACTACAGAAATACCCTATTTAGGCTTGCTGTGAGTTTGAAGATCAACGTTTGACAGTTTTTTTTGTCTATACAAAGCTTTTTTAAATAAAACTAAATAATGGGGAAAAATGCTAGTAACGATAGTTTATTATTTACAGAATTAATTAAAAAAAAGTGAAATCTTTTATTTAAAGCGTTCTATTAATTGTCTAATCCTAAGTGTCCTTATTGTTCGTACAAAGTGTTTCTTGAAGATTTTTGTTCGCTTGATATTTTTTTGATAAAATTCTAAAGTGATTTTGACAAAATTTGGTCCATTGTTAGAAACTAAACATATTTTAAAAAATACACTAGTACAAGGACACCCAACTTTTTTATTTTTTTTTCCGGGTTTTAAGATAAAGTATCATTACATAATAAACGAACTAGCCAAAAACTAATAGTCGTAGATAAAATATAGTATGCGACATGCTGATAATCTTAAACAAATTAAACTCGTGACTAAAATGGGGTATGCTTTTTACAAAACTTCTGGATTCCTCCTGCGTCGGTTTTTGCTTAGTCGAAATTGCTGACGTCCCGACTAAGCAAAAACCGACGCAGGAGGAATCCAGAAGTTTGGTAAAAAGCATTACAGCAGCCTGTGGAAGTTTCTTTGAAAAATTAAAATGGGGTATATCAAACTTGTTGCATAATATACTACTTCGACTATCCCACTGCTGTGCTTTATTTTATAAATATCTATTCGGATTGAAACAAGACTACTAATTAAAGTTTTGTTATATTTTCATGGCAAGCATCAAAAGAAAGTTAAAACGTCGAAAACATGGCACAGCAGCACATGTCCATTAAGACTCAGAGGTGGCGGAGGAGGCGATTGTCCATTAACGCCGATATCACCGATGGTTGAATGCAAATCCGTAATGGACAAGTTCGATGATATCTTAGCTGCTTACAGGAGAGGTATAATTTCGATGTTTTAATTCATGTTAGAATAGTGCGTCGATTTTTCATAGACAATCTACGGGTCCATCCTCATCAAATTTCACTGAGACTCTCTAAATATGATAGTCTGTGCAAAAATTGTCCCGGTTAGTTTGATTTTGTATAGGTGACAGAACAAGAAATATCACACTTTTTAAATAATTAAAAACTAACCAAAACTATTGTTCCTCACGCATAACATTAACTGCTGAATCTAAAATTTGTGGTTCTCAACTTCTTGGAAAAAATTGAATGTTCTCCATATTCCCAATTCATCTGCGTCGGTCGATTTTCGACTTATTAATATTTTGCCATGTGGTAGGTTCTTATGTACCCAAATAACGTTGAAACATAACGTCAGTGACGACGTCTTTAAACACATAATGATTAATATTTAACCTGTTTAGTTTTACTAGATTACAATAGGGCTTTCGATACGTTGAATCGTAAACTTTTCTTTAAAAAACTTGCTTATTTTGGATGGCGGCGTTAAAAGTGGGATGTGTTCTAAGGAATCATATTGGGCCCGTGTTCTTGTCTATACAGCTCATTTTTATACCAGATTAAAATATTATCCATGAACTTGCTGCTGACTGGCAACTTTACATTTTATTTCCCAACAGCTCATTAGATTTATATGGCTTCCAATAAAATAAATACTAATTTAAATTATATTGCATTTTGTTCTCGGCTGCATAGTTTTGTTATGTTAATGTTATTGGTCTTTGGGATAACCTCAACTTCTCTTAACTTAATTTTTAAAATTCGCCTGAACTACAAATCTCTTTCATTAACTACCAGTGAAAAAATATAAGACTTCATGGATGGCTTGAAATCTCATAGCGATATGAGGCTTCAATCGCACATGAAGAATTAAGACACTTCTATCAAAAAAAAACTCTAATGATTTAAGGGACAAAACTGTTTAAGGAGCTGACGATCAGTGTTAGGAAATTATTGCATCCCTACTTAAGACATATTACGTCCCATATTAAAACCAAAATTATATATTATTATAAATAAATTAAAAATGTATAGGGCGTTTTCTAATTCAATGTCAATTATTAAAGGGGCGATGTTTGGATCCATTTTAAATAGAAAATTTCATATGAACATATGTCCTAAACGTCTTAACTTCTGAGATACATGGTGGTAAATTTGTCGAAAATAAAATATATTTTTTTAATATCTGTTATACCATTTTAGATATTTTAATGAAATTTGGCACGTGTATATTATTTTGGCAGATATTGATGTTGGTACACCACTGATTTCTCTTAAAATAAAAATTCTCCCAATCTCCAGTCATTTCTAAAGAAACTTAATTTCTTGATTTTTTTCAATCCGATGTACGGTTTTCGCTTAAAAAAATAAAAACCTCTACTCTGCATGGTCATGTTCGTTAATACGATAGCACCGAAAGAAATTAGTTTTTATTTTTAAGTGAAAACTGTGCAACCAAGTAAAAAAAATAAGAAAACAAACAAACTCATAAACTATGAACAAATAATATTTTGGTTAATTAGGTTGCCACTGCACTGGTTAAAAAAAAAGAAAAAAGAAATATCTATCTAAAACAACCAACGTTTACCAACTAGTGTCCTTCAGAAAAAAAAATTAGAATGTTGTTTTAACTTTTACGCTTTTAATGAAATAACATAACATCCTAACAACGTACTTTTTGAAATATTTTAATAAAACAGATAAACAATTAAGTAAGAAATAATAATAATAATAATTCTTTGCATGTTGTCATATTAACGATATTGTTATGACCATGCAGGAAAGAGGTTTTTATTTTTATGAGTGAAAACCGTACATCGGATTGAAAAATATCAAGAAATAATTTCTTTTAAAATGATAGGAGATCGTAAGAATGATTTTTATGTCAACCATCAATGCGTGTCAAAATACATGTGAAATTCCGTATGCCCGCCACTGGTGTATTTAAAAAAAAGTGGTACATTAAATAATAATTTCAATAAAATATCTAAAGTGTTATTATTAGATATTAAAACAAATATAATTTATTTTTTTAAAATTTTACCACGCAGTATCTGAAAATGTAAGACGTTTAGGACATATGCTCGTATGAAGTTTTCTTTTTAAAATCGCCCCTGTAGCAACTGTTGATCCGAAGAGTGTAATTAAACACGAAACCGAACTTAAACAATTTACTATTCAAAATGAAGTGGGTGCCAATATCAAAACGTAATTTAACATGTAACACGTATTAACACACTTGCCAACGGCCATATTCTCGTCTTCCACTGCCGGCCCCCTCTTGATACTTTTAGTTGGTACCTAAGTGGCTCACTCTAGCGGGACCGTACGTATCTACTTCAATGAGGCGCTCTGGTCGACGACTAATTCGTTTATGGGCGGATAGATGGTGGTGAGGGTGTTCATTTGTTACACCCCCTTAATTATTGACATTTAATTAGGAAAACCCCTGTAAGTCCATTGAAGTGGTTATATGGTAGAAAAGCTATTTTGAACATTTGGTTTTGGTCGATTTCGTATAATAGAGGCACTGTTTATTTATATATTTTAGCCCTCGGTCCTTGTGGCCAAGCGGTTTGTCCTTACGCTCAAAATATATCCGTGGAGACATGCAAAAAATCGTGCGTTCACACGGACGCGATGCCGGTGCAAGAAATTCATTTCAAAACTGAACTGCCACCTACGGAAGTTGAGCCTCAAGAAAATAGGTATCCCGCGGGATGTGGTTCGCTCAAATGCGCGTACGCGAAATACAAAATCGGACTGTTGGACGAAGATGCTCAATTGGAGCTGCAGTTTTTGCCACCTGCGTTAAGGAGTAATTACATTTAAATGCTTTTATTTATAGGTGATTCAGGTTCATTTGAATTTTCCCATTGGTCTTTTGTTTTGGAATTGTCATTATTTTTCCACCACGGTTGTGTCGAAATTTTAGACGAGGGATTGCCGAAGTGCTTTCCTCCCCTGTTTTACTAATTTTGATATTTGATCATCTGCCATATGATTTTCCAGATATAAATTTCCAACAAATTGTCATTTGCACATTAACTACAATATAAAGTTTGTTCTTGCAGCTGAAAGGAACATGTTTCAGACAGATAATGACTGGGATAAGATTAATTGCAATCGTATAAAAGATTTTTGATTGGTTTTGAAAAACTACGCTATTGTTCAGATCTGGTCCCTGGAAAGTGTCCGGGCGTAACTCCAAATGAAAACTACGTAGATATTGTGTTGCAGAGTATTTATCCGCCATACGGTACATCTTTCCGAACGATTTTTAGTTAATGAAGTTTTAATTAAATTTATTACACTTGGAAATGTTTTATGGGGTATAATATACACCGATATGGAAGAAGACGTTAAACGGTATGCCCTATCTGTCCCATATTGTTTTCTAATAGCACAGGAATTTAACATTTCCAGAAATTGCCCTTTCTTGTAACTGGATTCAAAATAAATATTATTTTAAGTCATCCATTACAAGGGCCTGTTATGCGGCATATTTTTTAAAAGATAATTTTGAAAACATTCTGCACTTGTATCTGCAAGATAGAAACAACAGCAATCAATCTTCAATAAACCCCTTCTCCTTAATTACGTTTTCCTTTACTCGAAGGTGCTTTTGTCTGACAGTTATTACTAGAATCAATCTATCCTTTGGATACTGTATCGTGTATACCAACCAAGTTTCATCTAGGACCTACAATTTTTAATTTCATTGTGCAATCTGTGCGACCATTTGTTTTTGGTCTATTTTGCGGTATTTAAATCCTATTTTACATGTAACTGTATGAAGGGTAGCACGGCTAATAATTATATTAGTTACACCATCTTCTAGCTAAATTTTCAGTTTATCCAAAGTAGTACCAATTTGATTTTGAGAAAGGGAATATATGTTCCTTGTGGTCATATCTTGTTCACTCTACAGACAATGAGATTGACAATCACTAGGTTTTAGATTTCATTCAATGATTAACAATATCCTTTTTAGAAGATATTAGCGTTTTTGTAAGTATGCAGGTTTTTTTAAATCTTCTTAATTAATGAATTCTCTACTTATTGATTGATTTCGACGCGATATAGCGGAAAAATTAGTGAAGCTTTTTTGAAACGCCAGGTAAAAATGAATGAATTATTCAATGGTGGCCCTGATATCAGCTAACACGTGATCGACATCTACTATTCTTATTGGTTGTTGGATTCACCTGTTAAGAGGTATGAAGGCCGTAATTATTTTTTGAAGAAGAGATTTGTTTATATGTAGATGTGAGAAACGTGAGGTCCGTGAACAAAAATATATTGTTCTTAAAAACACTTTGTTGCGATGTTAAAAAATTATTGATTAGTGTTATTTAGATTCAAGAATCCATTTCCCTATGATTATTTTGACTTATTTTATCAAAAGGGAAATTCGGTTGAACACATCAAGAAATAATTAAATTTTCTAGTCAGCGTGGTCACTTAAGTATATAACATATGGGTAATACTATATTAATCGCTTCACCCAAAAACAATTATTGATGAAATTTGGTGAATGTTCGACATCATGTTTATAAAGTACCCAAAATAAAATTTTGTTCAAATTGAAATATAAAATCGCAACCATATTAAATAGATTTAAATTTTTACCATAAAGTGTAAAACTTAAGTCACTACTCTTCACTAGAGTATAACAAAATCTACCGAAAATATTTTTTATTAATTAATTAATTTGTTAATTTATTATTTTTTTATTTTTACCTCTCTAAATTGTAATAAAATCAACTCAACTTGATTTGGTTTTAAAATGTTAAAACGATATTTACTTTACATAAACTTTGATGACGATTTCGTGGTGATGCGTTTGCGTTGTAGCGATTTCTTTGAAATCGAGGATTTAAGATAAATAAAAAAAAGAACACTTTACTAAAGTATGAATCTAATTCATCAAAGTAGTTTGATTTCTAATTATTTAAATTAAAAAAAAACAGATCAAGTTTGTTCGATTTTTTTAGCACATTTGTAGAAAACTGGAAATAAATTTTTCAGTATTTTCAAACAGATTTTTTAAATGAAAAATGTCAGTTTTGACATATAAGGGCCAATGTTTAGAAGCCTTTAGAAAACTGATTTATACTTTTCGTTATGATGAACAAATTGTCCCCAGGAATAAAATTTGCAAAAGCTTATTAATAAAAAAAATTTTCCTAGCCAATTTAAACCTTTCATTCGATCGAAGTTTGGCGTTTTGGCAAAACAACTTACACTTTTATTTTTCCATTGGCTGCGGGGATCCCAAATGCAAATATCCACCGACACCGGAATTGCCCCCGATTCATTGGGATTGTCCAGATCCACTGCCCAAAGATCAATGCAAGAATCCAAATTGTCCTCTTTTACCAAAATTACTGAGAAAACTTCAACCAAAACAAATGATGAAAGGACCATGCGGGAGTTCGGAATGTTCGTATGCTGTACCAGAGCCATGCGACAACCCAACGTGCCCGTTTTTACAAAAAGCATGTCCAATGGCAACAGAACAGGCGGCCACCAAATCGAAGAGCGAAGAAACGACTTGCACGAATCCAGAATGTCCTTTCGCGAGCGAGAATATTAACAAAACCATAAATGACGAAAATGATCCAAAATTCAAGGGAGAATTTGAAACGTGCGGAAATCCCGATTGTCCTTACAATAATCCTGTATCTGAGGTATCCAGTGACACGTTAAGCATATTAGAATTCTTCAGTCGAAAATCGAAAAATACTATAACAGTTTAAAGAGTGCAAATGCAAATTTTTATGCATGGTTTTTTTAGTCAAGGAATTTAAGGAGTAATATAGATACGATACGCAAATAATGCGTGGATAAAATAAAAAATACACATTGTTAACATTTAAATTTCCTTAAGATCTTAATCTAAAAATCTTCTCTGTTATAACAATAAAAATATTAAAGTGAATCAAAAACGAAAATATCAAAAAAAGAATTAACGTGGCCACCAAATTTAATATAAAAACGTCTATTCGAATTACCTACAAATAAAAACTTCAGGCTTTTCCCCGAAAAAGCTTTGCTGTTTTTTTATACATTTCATATATTCTTTACCAAAAAAAAACGCAAATAATTTATATAAAAACTGCCAAGTCCAAATGGTCAATAAACCCTTGAGCTCTCCAACCGTGTAAGCAGAGACAACTAATACAATTTCAAAATCGTCGGCAAAAAGGCACCGATAGCTGCTAAATTGTCCTTTATATTCGCAAAAGTCTTATGTAGTTTTTGTTAAGGTATATCTCTCAATACAGATCACAATATTTGCTTACTCGTTTCGAGCGTCTAGTAGTTTTTTTATTTAAAATGAAGCAAACGCTTGTAACCCATTTATTGCATTTTGGAGCATTTGAATTTCAAAACCTATTTTTCAGAAAGGCTCTAGAGTCGAAATTTGCAATAATCCAAAATGTCCTTTCAAAAAAAAATCCAAAATGAGGCAAACTGTATCCAGGAATGGGAAGAAATACAAAGCAAACAACAAATTCTTTAACAATTTCGCATGGGACTGCAATAAACAAAAAAGTAAAAGCAGTATCGACGGAAGGTAACCGTAAAGCCTAAAAAAAATGCAATAAAACATACTATTTGTTTCCCCGCTAAAAATAGTGTTTGTTCCAACCCACAGTGTCCATACAACATGAAAACAAAGGAAGATAAAAGCAAAAATGAAGACTGTAGTTGTGAAAAGGAGGACAAAAGCATTTGTTCAAATACAGAATGTTCCGAATTCAAAGCGAGGTAAGAGAGCTAAAGGAAAAAATGTAATGAAGGTTTGACAATCGCAATAGTATTGCGGTGCTTTCATATTAGCGCAATAAAATAAAAGTAAAAATTAATTTAATTATTTTATTTAATTTATTTGAAATTGCAGCTTAGTAATATTTAATTTGTTTTCCTTCAAATTGGGTAGAGAAACTTAGAAAATACTTTTTAAAAAAATGCTTTGCATGAAAAAACATGTAATAACTTGTGTACCTATTTGCATTTCAGACCTTTAAAACAATCGGAGCAAAAATCTGTTTGCGACGACCCTTACTGCCCATATGGGCAGCCCCTGCCATCGTGTGGGATCCCAAACTGTCAATACGAACTACTTTCCGCTTCCTTTTACTGCGAAAATCCCGTGTGTCTAGTTAAAAAGGATAAATGTCGAGTAAACAGTGCATCTGAAGAAGAGAAACAAGTTGTCGTAGATACAACAGCAGCGGTAAATAATAATAATAACAAACAATTTATTGAATAAATAAATTAGAAATCATATGACTTCAAAAATGAGAGTTTCAAAGAATTGTAAAATTGGCATCTTGTGAAGGTTTCGAAAAATACACAATTGTTTAGAATTATTCACAAAGCCTTTTGAAAAATTGGCGATAAATTATTATCGCACTGGATGATATTTGCAGAAATGTTTCTCAAAATAATTTGTAATATTATGGGAACTGTCCATTTATAGAATGCTTCAATATGCGATCATGTACCTTGCGAAGATAAGCCCGGAGAAGAGTGCGAGAATCCGGACTGTGGCTTTACAGTGGAAAAACCAAAAAGGAAATGTAAGAGGGGCCGAAAGAAAAGAAGTAAATTCGTCTACACCATTGGAGATACATATCCGGGAACCAAATTAGGTCACAGAGAGTGTATAACGCCCAGTTTTATGGTTCCACCGAATATGGGATGGCTGTGGAATATCCGGACCCCCATATTGAATTTGAAAGTAAGGTTTGTCATAGGCGCGGAGCTTTTAATTATTTTTATTTAGCCTAGAAGAGGTTGGAGGCCCGGTGCTTTAACCAGAATCATTGCTCAACGAATTCGGGCTCATAGACAATCTAAAGGATTAGGTATGTTCGCACTTCCGAGTTTCAAAACGGAGGGGGCTCAATATAACGAGCTCAAACTTCAACCGAAGCCAACATTACAAATTCAAAAAAAGGAAGGTTGTTATTGGATTACTATGAATCCCCTAAAAGATCCGCATAGTTTGGTAAGCATGTGTTTCAATCACCTCACAGTGAACGCAAGTGCTAGTGATTTAAGTTTCATAATTTTAGTACACTACTGGTTAGTTTGCTCTTTTCAATTTTTGTTCTTCCATTTTATGATTTTAAAATTCAAGATTGCGAATTTAGTATTGCATCTATTCGTTTGTACCAGGGTTACTACTAGCAATGGTCTTCTGCTGTCTCTCGGGAAATATTGGCCGTTATTACTGGAAATTATTTTTCCTAGGAAGGCCGCTATCTTATTTATCACTTATAACAAAAGCGTTCTTATATATTAATTTTTGCCAATACCCTTCGGATTAAAAAATTTCGTTGATTTTTTTAAAAGCTTATATTTCTTTTTATTATTAAACTTGTTGCATTTATAATTTTCAAAAAAACGCGCAACGTTTATTAAGTTGAAAGATAGCGCCGACTAAAGTTTACGATTCGGACATTTAAATAAAACCGCATCTAACTTTCCCCTGCCACTTGGTTTTAAAAGATAGGGCAAAATGGTTCAAACAAAAAAATCCAAATTTGCGAAAGATTATGATTATTTCTAATACCTATATATCCAATTCAAAACTTTCTGTTTTATTACTTTTTGAGATACTGTCTGTGGAATAGCTGGTACATATTTTTTGATTTTTCTTTTCGACTTGTTAATTGGGACGAAATTAAAACAGTAAACTCCGTTTATAATGTACATGGGATACAACATTCTTCCTGGTCTGGCCAAAATACTCTTATACTTTATAACTTCTACTACGGTTATAAAGTACAATATTTTCACTATTGTTCTGGTTATAAAGTACGAGTGTACGCTAAAACCAGATTATTGAGCGGTGGTTCCCCGAAAAAATCGGAGATTTTTCAATAATCATTTTGCGAGCGAATCCACTTTATTGTTGTATGGAAAGCTAGCACGATTTTTTGAGTTTATCGTTAAAACGGCGGATCGGGGCAAGTCTTTAACTGTAAAAGAAAAGATAGAGGTTATCAGAAGTATTAACAGTGGCATCGATAAATCGGAAATTGCTAGACAAACGAAATTGGCAAAAACAACAACATCTACAATTTGGAGTAATCGCGAAAAGATCAAGAAAACAAGTGACTGTAAATCGCACAGGATTAAAAAAATTAGAAATCCTGTACGTTCAGATGTATATAAAGCTATTTTACGATGGTTTCAATTTCGAAGATTCGAAAATATTGCAATAAGTGGTCCAGTTCTGAAATCGAATCTGACTCGAACGTATTAAAGTTCCTCACAACATAAACGTCGGAAAAATTTCTGCTGAAGCAGGAGATGTTAACAAACAAGCTGTGCTGAACTTGTTAGATGAATAGATCAAATATCGGATTAGAGTTTTTGCCTCCGAAGAGCACCTCAGTCGTCCCACCAATGGATCAGGGCATAATAAAATGGCTTAAGACATATTACCGCAGATATTTTTCGTATCCTTTGATCCCAGTCAAGTGAAAATAAGGTACCTTTCAATATCACTATCCTCGACTATATAAAATTACTTGCACAATGTTGGAATGATGTCACTTCAATCACTATTTCAAACTGCTTGCGATGATAATTTAATAACAACGGAGTTATTAACGGATAATGATATTATTACTTAACTTTCACAGCCAAATCATCCTCAAAGCTCTGATAACGAAAACGACGATGATGTAAAGTTTATATAGATAGATAAGTTTTTAGTTTAGGTAGTTTAGTTTCTTTCGTTTTTAGTGCCTATATTAGTGTATATTAGTTTTCAAATTTTATATAAAATAAAAACATGTAAGTACCTACATGATTTTTTTTGTTCTTTTGATAACGTACTTCCTCTTACAGAGTACTCATTTTTTGGTCCCTAGAGGGTACTTTATAACCGGAGTTCACTGTATAAGCAAATAAAAAAAAACACATTTCATAAATTTCAAAATTCATAAATATATTCGCAAATTAATATTTTTAAAATATGATTTGCATAATTGGGATATTGTATTTATTACGTAGAGTGAGAATGAAAACCCTTATATGGAATGTAGCCCGATGACATTCAAAATAACAAAAAACAACAAATCGATGGACATCTGTTGCTGCAGCGACGAGGATATGAGGAAATCTGTCTCATCATCTAGCAGCGAGCTGGATATCGAATTTACTCCCCCAGCGGGCATTATTCATCCCGAGCGATTTAAGAAAAAGCGTGATGTCGCCTGTGCGGAGTGTCAATACGATCCGTTCGATTTTGAAGTTCAAACGAAGAAAGACGAGAAAAAGTCTGATAAAAAATCAGCCGGCAAAAAGACCCAACAGGCAAAAAAGGGAAGAAAAAAATAGTTTTTTAAAGCAAAAGAAAAAATAAATAAAAATATAATTTGTACAATAATTTGTAAAGTTGGCATTTATTTATATTATTTATCTATTCCCTACTTAAGTGAAATGTTGGGGCGAACATTTTTTAAATCAGTTCTCTTTCGTATTCGATGCAGACATTAAAGCTAATACGAATTAGCGTTATTACACTCTAAGCTTCCAAGTACGGTTTTTAGATTTGCACAACTTATGCAAAACTTAAATTCTACTCAGGGTGTTATTTAACAAGTGTTAGATATTTCACAGTTACTATAAACGCGCTGTCGTTTTTGAAATACAGGGTGGCAAAATTTTATTTATAATTTATATAAAAGTTTTATATTTAATTTTGTAGGAAAAATTATGTATGAAACTAACCAAAACATTTTCGGAGATTGATTTAGACACCAGAGAGATTCGCTATGAAATTTTCGCTTCATTTTCAGTTTAGTTCAGTTTCATTTACTTTATTTACTGACAGAGATGACTACTTAACTGTTGATTTCAAAATTAAATTCCTGTTTTTTATTCTTCTGTTCGTAAAAAGTAAGAGATAGGTATAGAATATGCTATCTTGAATTCTGCGTGAAAGTTGACAAAATCTAGTTTTTGCCCCACCCTGTATAATATCTATTTACTGCAAAGAAAAAATATGATAGACGTGTGCGATCATTTTTCTGGAAATCTATCTGATTTTTAAATGAACTTGTTCCATGTTTTAGCCGTTCACGTATATAAAATTCGTATCTCTGCAGACCTACTTCGTCTGCAATTTATTGTTTCAAAATCACATTCAAATTTTAAGTAATTTATTGATCCCAGATGCTGCGCAGTGCAGAAATGTTACATGTGAAAAATGCTTACTTCTTTTTCCGTTGACCCTTTCTGAAAACTGATATTGAGCTGGAATGAGCGTTTTTTGATTCAAAAAGGAGAATGCTAATGGTAGCACGAATGCCACGCCAAAGAGCAAGACACCAGTGACCACTATCGATCCGAGGTTAACGTTTAACAGTGATGTTCTTGCCATATTCATTGATTTCTGCACTGGAATATTAATAAATGGAACATTAAAGTCCAAGTCCATCTGAAAAGAAAAAATAAATTGTCATAGATTAAAATTGACATATTATACTAAGTAGGTAATAAGTACATAATTACATATCCTTCGAAATTAAATTATACAGTGCCGCACTATACTTATTTTTTTAGTGTATTTCTTAAGCGAATTACATAACTGAATTTTAATAAAATCAACTTGACTTTATTTGGTTTCAAAATATTAATTCCCCTTTTTTAGATTTCAGATTTCATTGAATCCATGTGTTTTGAACAAAAAATAAGGAAAATTGATATTATACAAAAATAAACAGAAATTTATATATAATTATTTGAAAAGCAAAAGTTGCATTTTTGAAAAGATTCGATAGAATTCAAAATTTTAAATCATGCAGGTGGTGGATTCCTGATTGTTTTGTTCAAGACCAAAAAAGCATTTCTTTATTCATTTTCTTCGCAAGATAATATTGATTGATCTTATCATTAGGATAGTTGATGAAACATTTTGTAATTAACAATTTTTATAAATTTTATTTAAGCAATTTTTTTTTTAAGAATAGACAAAAATTTGAGGGCCAATTTTAGCGGATCTGATAATTAATCCATGCCAGGTTTAAAATTCCCGTAGGCACTAAAAAGTGAACACCTAGACATTCTGAAATTTCAAACTGTGTAACATAATGTAACCACAGAGAATACCGTTTACCTTTATTTCTCCAGACGTATCAAACGTTATGAGTCTATTTTGCCTGGTGTTAAAGGCTTCTTTGTAAATTCGTTCATAATTTCCAGTCAGGTTGGCACACTCGCGGTAATAAATATAATTGCCAAACACCAGTAATAAGACGTAAATCGCACTAAACATATTTCGTTAAATCTGTCGCCACGCAATTTTTGAAATTCAAACGGAAGCAAATTATTTCGGCACAAGAAGCGTTCACTACAGTTGCCGAAACAATGCAATATGTTTTTTTTTCTTGTGCAGAAAAAACAGCTAATTTTGCGGCATTATTTAACGAGTTATGAAATAGCCCATAAAGTGAGAAACTACAAAATATTTGGATGAACAAGAACAATGCGATGAGAGAACAAAATCATTTTACATTAAAGTATTCCAATTTAATTGTACTTATGTGTGGTATCACTTTTGATGTTTTCTTGGGTTAGAACCTGCCCTCGGGATATTTGTTATTTAGAGTGCAGACCTTATTATTTAAAACTACCAATAAATATTGATTGATTTTACAGTTTAATAATAAGAAATCAGCTAAAATTAAACGTTTTGCTGTAATGCAATCAAGAAAATTCTTCCTTTTACTCTACGTAGTTGATTTGCTATAAAGTCAACTGCTATGACTGAACTAATTTCATAAGGTGTAATAAAGTGCAGAAGGTGTGAATAATATATCTGACACTATATCTTATGATCCTAAGAGAAATGTGATTATCTACAAAAAATGTATTTATTAATTCTTCAAAACGCAATAATACATAAAACAGTTGTTTCACTGTTGTCTTTAAAATAGTTATTTATTTAGTTAACATTATGTAAATTAGTGAAACATTCGTATAGGCTCACTGGTTATAATTTGAAACGCAATGCTCAGGGCTTATTAAAAGTTATATTAACAAATATTAATAAATTCGAAGGTTATAGAGTTTCAACACCCCACGTTTTGTTAAATTGTTTCCTGGCCGTTCAAGGCAACCTACAACTTTTGAATTTACAATTTTTCACACTGAGATTTTTGGTAATTTTTACCAGAATTAAAAAATTACCTTAAACGTAATATATGGGAGCGTGTAATTTTTACACTAATTTTTGACAACTATTCACATAGCCGTGCAATCTATTGTTAACCGGACGTGTTAAAATACAGTTATTCGTGTAAAATTTACCCAAAACAGTGTTAAATAGAATACGCCGAATCGTGTTAAAGTGCATGCTTATTCACCCTATTACTACTATTAAGTACATTTATTCTGAAACCAGGGTAGTATCATTGTTATATATATCTACTAAAATTTCATATGTATCATCACTATTTAAATGTTGCCCATTTTGTTATATTGTATGGCGCGATTGGACAAGTTTAGAACTGTCAAACACACAACACATTTTTGGTGTAAAAATTACCTATTGCCGTGTAAAATAATACGGATCGAGAAAATCATTGTGTAATAGTATCTTATGCAACAACGGTAAACGCCATTTGAATCGCTTAAATAAAATACACCTATCTAGCGAGTTTAAGGTTGGATACGCAGGGTGAGTTCTTTAAAAACAACTTTATTCGGTCACTGGGACCTTACAATTGTGCGATACAACATAAGAGCTAACAAATATTACGGGCGCTCATATTTATATATTAAAAGTGATTATACAGCACAGAGATTAATAGCGAGAGGGAAACTGGTCTTCTCTCGGCATCTTGTCTTCTTTGTTTATTCTTTTCTTCTAGGGAAACTTTGTTATTATTTTTCTGCTTTTTAAGTATCTGTTTACAAAAGCTTATTGTAAAATATTTTGTTAATATTAAATAAAGTCCAATGATAAATAAAAGCATTGTATATATACTAGTTTCATAGTTTTAAATTTCGGGTAGATAATTCTTCGACTTCTTGTTTTTGTACGTCGAGGTCTTGGTAGATATTTCGCACTTCATCCAGGTTGACTTCGTCGATCCTGAGTTGATTCAAATTTCCTTTTCTTGCGTCTAAGTACGGTGAAACTGGTATCGAGGGCAGTTCCAATTTTTTGAAATTTAGGTTCAGGTCTTCATAGGACTCCATCAGTATCATATACTTCTACTACTTACGTTCCATTAATGGGAATGTTTTCTCTAGAGTTTAGTTATTAAGAATTTTTCGGGTGTGATCAGGATCCACTGGTTCTTTTCTGTATCTTGATATGATTTATCAGGGTAGGCACAGGCGTACAGTTAGTAGCGTTTACTACATATCTTAAAAGTTGTATTTCACAAGGCATATTTTCTTCTATTATGGTTGACGCATATAAATTCTTCTGTTACAATCTCGTTTCATTCTTCATCAAAGAATACATAGTTTTGCTCATTTAGAATAAGGAACTTTGAACGAGGGACAATAGTTTCAAAAGTATTAATTTTTGGGGTAGATAAGGAATATAAATGGTAGTAGTTATATGTTTTCTTTTCTACGATAGGTATTTCTATTATAAAGGTAATTTGATTTTTCTTGGAGTAACTTTTGATATTCATAACTTTTTTAAAAGAGGAGGATATTTTTAAGGTTTATTTCAAAAGGGAATTTATTTCCTTTAATTTCTTTACTAGCCTTTTGAATTTGTAATAGTAGATAAGTTGGTTCGGTAATGGAATTATGAAATGTATTTAGTTTGGCAAAGCTAATTGCGACTTCTATCCTTTCTAGGGTATCAAAAATTATTTGAAAGCAGAAACATATTTTACTATTAATTACTATTAATGTTTCCATTAATAATGAAAGTATTTATTTATCCCTTTTATTCCTTCTTGTAATTCCTTGATCTGATTTAAAAGGTTCTTTTGATTTTGTTTTCTTTTGGCTTCTATGAAATATGCTTGTCCTAATTTAGTAAAAGGGTCTATTATTGTTAAATTATTTCTACCGTCGAATATAATATGGGACATTTTCTTGAATATTTTGCACGTTGGCAAATGTCGCAGTTGTATAATTGGTGATTGTTAATTTCATGCTTTTCCAATAATAATTCTTTTGTAAATATCCTTGAGTTTCGTTAATTCCGCGAAGGTTGGTTTTTACCTTCGCGATGATATTTTATTCATAATATTTGTTCTTCTTTGTCAGCGATTGTATTTACTCCTTTCGTACACCGAATTAATTTTGCGCCTTTTTCTGAAAAATGTTTTAGATATGTTATGCAAAAATAATTATATAATTGATCTGTTTGGAAATAAACTGAATAAACTATTTTA